ACCCCTTGGGTGGGTGAGTGGAAGGGAAAGGGGCCTGAAACCCCTTGGGTGGGTGAGTGGAAGGGAAAGGGGCCTGAAACCCCTTGGGTGGGTGAGTGGAAGGGAAAGGGGCCTGAAACCCCTTGGGTGGGTGAGTGGAAGGGAAAGGGGCCTGAAACCCCTTGGGTGGGTGAGTGGAAGGGAAAGGGGCCTGAAACCCCATGGGTGGGTGAGTGGGAAGGGAAAGGGGTTGAAACCCCATGGGTGGGTGAGTGTGAAAGGAAAGGGGTTGAAACCCCTTGGGTGGGTGAGTGGCAAGGGAAAGGGGTTGAAACCCCATGGGTGGGTGAGTGGGAAAGGAAAGGGGCCTGAAACCCCTTGGGTGGGTGAGTGGAAGGGAAAGGGGCCTGAAACCCCTTGGGTGGGTGAGTGGAAGGGAAAGGGGCCTGAAACCCCTTGGGTGGGTGAGTGGAAGGGAAAGGGGCCTGAAACCCTTGGGTGGGTGAGTGGAAGGGAAAGGGGCCTGAAACCCCTTGGGTGGGTGAGTGGAAGGGAAAGGGGCCTGAAACCCCTTGGGTGTGTGAGTGAAAAGGGAAAGGGGTTGAAACCCCTTGGGTGGGTGAGTGGCAAGGGAAAGGGGTTGAAACCCCATGGGTGGGTGAGTGGGAAAGGAAAGGGGCCTGAAACCCCTTGGGTGGGTGAGTGGAAGGGAAAGGGGCCTGAAACCCCTTGGGTGGGTGAGTGGAAGGGAAAGGGGCCTGAAACCCCTTGGGTGGGTGAGTGGAAGGGAAAGGGGCCTGAAACCCCTTGGGTGGGTGAGTGGAAGGGAAAGGGGCCTGAAACCCCTTGGGTGGGTGAGTGGAAGGGAAAGGGGCCTGAAACCCCTTGGGTGGGTGAGTGGAAGGGAAAGGGGCCTGAAACCCCATGGGTGGGTGAGTGGGAAGGGAAAGAGGCCTGAAACCCCTTGGGTGAGTGAGTGGAAGGGAAAGGGGCCTGAAACCCCTTGGGTGAGTGAGTGGAAGGGAAAGGGGCCTGAAACCCCTCGGGTGGGTGAGTGGAAGGGAAAGGGGCCTGAAACCCCTTGGGTGGGTGACTGGAAGGGAAAGGGGCCTGAAACCCCTTGGGTGGGTGAGTGGAAGGGAAAGGGGCCTGAAACCCCTTGGGTGGGTGAGTGGGAAGGGAAAGGGGCCTGAAACCCCTTGGGTGGGTGAGTGGAAGGGAAAGGGGCCTGAAACCCCTTGGGTGGGTGAGTGGAAGGGAAAGGGGCCTGAAACCCCTTGGGTGGGTGACTGGAAGGGAAAGGGGCCTGAAACCCCTTGGGTGGGTGAGTGGAAGGGAAAGGGGCCTGAAACCCCTTGGGTGGGTGAGTGGAAGGGAAAGGGGCCTGAAACCCCTTGGGTGGGTGAGTGGAAGGTAAAGGGGCCTGAAACCCCTTGGGTGGGTGAGTGTGAAAGGAAAGGGGCCTGAAACCCCTTGGGTGGGTGAGTGGAAGGGAAAGGGGCCTGAAACCCCTTGGGTGGGTGAGTGGAAGGGAAAGGGGTCTGAAACCCCTTTGGGTGGGTGAGTGGAAGGGAAAGGGGCCTGAAACCCCTTGGGTGGGTGAGTGCAAGTGAAAGGGGCTGAGTCCCCTTGGGTGGGTGAGTGCAAGTGAAAGGGGCTGAGTCCCCTTGGGTGGGTGAGTGCAAGTGAAAGGGGCTGAGTCCCCTTGGGTGGGTGAGTGCAGGTGAAAGGGGCTGGGTCCCCTTGGGCGGCACATGATGAGCCGTACGGCACATGATGCCACCTGTTGCATCAGAGGTGATGGTGGGTAGTGTGAGTGGTGTGATTGAGTGTGTGATTAGGGTAATGGGTGAAAGTGGTGATAGCCACAGGTGGGACTGAGGGAGTTGAGTGGTGAAAGTGGTGATAGCCACAGGTGGGACTGAGGGAGTTGAGTGGTGAAAGTGGTGATAGCCACAGGTGGGACTGAGGGAGTTGAGTGGTGAAAGTGGTGATAGCCACAGGTGGGACTGAGGGAGTTGAGTGGTGAAAGTGGTGATAGCCACAGCCGATTTTTTTTTGTGAGTGAGTGAGTGAATGAGTGAGTGCTTGTAAGGCTGGTGAGTGAGAGCTAGTGGTTAGGGTGAGTAGGAGAGTCCAAGAGGTGAGAATGAGTATGGGATTGAGTTGTGAGAATGGTAAGCTTGGGTGTGTGCGGAGAGTGAGCAGCAAGAGTGCGTGAGTGGCGAGTGAGGTAGAGCGTTAGAGGTGTCAGCCATGAGAGTGAGTGAGTGAGTGGGAGAGAGTTGTGAGAGTAGGAGGTTAGAATGGCAGTGAGAGTGCATGCTGGTGGCAGTGAGACTAAAGAAGGTGGTGCGGGTGAGTGGCTGGAGTGGTGAGAATCGTGAGTGTGTGGTGAGACCGTGTGGCGATTGTGAGGGGTTGGAGCGAGTGGTGAAGGTGCGTGGAGAGTGATGTACGGGTGGGAGTGTCCAGATGGTGTTTTTGAGACGTCTCAAAAACAACCTCGCTTCACGTGGGAATGGAGAGTGATGTAGGGGTGGGAGTGTCCAGATGGTGAACTGGAGTGAGTGGTGCAAGTGAGTGTAGAGATTGAGGACTGAGAGTGGACAGGGAGTGAGTGGTGAGAGTGCAGTAAGGGAGTGGTGAGTGTCACTGCGTGGAGAGTGGCAAGGGGTACAACAGTGCGCAGTGTGTGGGTGCTGCTGGTGGCAGTGAGAACAGAGAGCGTGGTGTGGATGAGTGGTTAGAGCGGTGAGGTTAGAGCGGCGACAATCGCGAGAGTGTGGTGAGACAGAGCGGTGAGAGTGAGTGGTGAGTGTGAGCGGTGATGGTGGAGGGTTGGGAGTGGCGAGGTGATGGGATGGAGTGAGAGGTGGGAGTGAGTGGTGGGATTTGGTGGTGAAATTGAGTGGTGGGATTCGGTGGTGAAAGTGAGTGGTGGGATTCGGTGGTGAAAGTGAGTGGTGGGATTCGGTGGTGAAAGTGAGTGGTGCAAGTAAGTGTGGCGTGTTAGGAATGAGAGTGGACATGAGTGGGTGGTAGTGAGAGTGGGTGGTGCAAGTAAGTGTGGCGTGTTAGGAAATTCCTACCTCTGTCACCTCTCTCTCTCTTTTCCTACCTCTGTCACCTCTCTCTCTGTTTTTCTACCTCTGTCATCTCTCTCTTTCCTCCTCTGTCACCACTCTCTCTGTTTTCCTTCCTCTCTCACCTCTCTCTCTGTTTTCCTCCCTCTGTCTCTCTCTCTCTCTCTGTTTTCCTCCCTCTGTCCCATGAGAGCAAGACGCTGTTTGGTGGCACATGATGAGCCCTATGGCCCGATGCCACCTGTTGCATGAGAGCAGGATGCTCATAGGTAATAATCAAGTATAGCAACTACATTTGTTGACATTAGTAACAAAAGCGGAGCAGCAACGTTTGGTGGCACATGATGAGCCCTAAGGCGCTGATGCCACTGCAATGTGCTGATTTGAACTAAATCTTCTTTCATGTGCTGTGCCATGCTGTGTGCTGTGCCATGCTGTGTGCTGTGCCATGCTGTGTGCTGTGCCATGCTGTGTGCTGTGCCATGCTGTGTGCTGTGCCATGCTGTGTGCTGTGCCATGCTGTGTGCTGTGCCATGCTGTATGCTGTGCCATGCTGTGTGCTGTGCCATGCTGTGTGCTGTGCCATGCTGTATGCTGTGCCATGCTGTGTGCTGTGCCATGCTGTGTGCTGTGCCATGCTGTGTGCTGTGCCATGCTGTGTGCTGTGCCATGCTGTGTGCTGTGCCATGCTGTGCATGGCATGGCATGCCATGCCCGGGATAGGATGGCATGGAATGGCTTGGCATGCTTGGCATGGCATGGCATGGAATGGCAAGAAATGGCATAGGGCTTGAAAAGTCCAGGGATGGCGACAACAGCTGGAAGGGAGTACAGAAGGGCAGGCAAGCAAGGCAGAAATGAGAGGACGCTGAGCAATGGTGGAAGTTTTGGAGAGTAGGGAGGATAGCCATGGGGCAAGATTTTTTATGCTGCTCAGATGGGTATTAAGTAGACGTGCCCATGTGGCACTGCAATCGTGTATCAGTTCAAATACGGTACTCTTTTGGTTTCCGTTATATGCAACTAAAATGTGAAGAAATTCACGTTTTCTTTCTCGCTGTAGGCCGCTTAGGAGATGGAGAAAGGCTTTCTGCGTTAATTTTTAGTTTTTTTTATTCCGAGACTAAAATCTTGCGTATTGGAACTAATAACTAGTTATTTAGCTGTTCACTATTGTTGGTTAACATTGCTATTTCACAAATTGAACATTTATAGACCTGCAAGTCCATGTATTTTGCCTCCCTCACCATTTCAAGATTTAGTTTCTCTGCGATTTGTTGCTCTGTCGTCTTCAAACGAGGACAGTACTGGAAGGAGAGGTTCAGGGGTTGCCTGTCAGAATTATGGTGGAGATTTTCCCACCGAGGTAGAGTCGAGGTTTAGGAGGTCTAAGGTGACAGAGATGCTCTGCCAGTAGGTTGACGAATAGCCTCACCACCTGCTGAGGGTCGTATTTGACTGAAAGACTCGCGGATTATCTACGCCTTAGGCGGTCAGGATTCGTTACAGTCACATTGCCGTACCGACCCGTCGATCAGCACCGTCTTCGAGGCGCAGTTGCACCAGCTGTATCGTTACCTGGTTACCTGGAAGTTGCCTCCCGTGCTGCGTCGTTCATAATCGCCGGGAGCTGCGTTAGGCGATTCTGTTGAATTAGGTTATTCGCTCGTGTGCGGCGAGCGAAGCGGGTAGTGCGGTTAGTGTTCGCGAAGCCACCTTAGGCATTTCGTTATCTCATTCCCGCGAAGCGGTCAAGCTGTGTCCGGAGACCTCGCCGCAGGTCGCTCGCGCGCGCGTGTTCGCCTCTCTCATTCCCGCGCTTGCGCGTTCGTCTGTTGATTCGCGCGTGTGTTAGCGCAGTGCGCACGTGAGTTATCGCAGCGCAGCGATCGCAAGTTAGCGCAGCGAGCGCGTGTGTTTAGCGGGGTCGCGCGCATGGCGGTGTCGTTCGAGGGCGACGACGTGCGGCAGGGCGTGCCGGAGAACCTCGAGAACCTCGTCGCGCCGCACATCGACTCCTTCGACTATTTCGTCGAGCGCGGGTTACCAGAAGCTGTTCGCCTGATTCGACCCGTGGAAGTGCACGACTCGTTCAGGAAGCTCAAATTCTACTGTAAGCGATCCGAGGGTGTCTCGCCAAGCTTAGACTCAATTGTAGGTTTGCTGAGACGTCTCAAGGCCTCGATGCTAATGTAGGAGTCCGAAGTGCCCCGTCAAGCTCCAATGAGGTTGTATAATTGTTGAGCCCTTTCTATAACTATACAACCTAAGTGTATACTTCAATGCTCGAGACACGTCAAAGCTCGGAGAGAAGCCCATCGCAGTAAGGTCGAGGCGTTAGGAAACTCACTCGTTGTCTCCCTCATTCTCACACCCTCAGCTTTCGTGATCAACTCCTGGCAATTGAGATTTAGGGTTTCCTTGTTTTCCGTTCCCTACGCAGTGTGGTGGGAGAATCCGAGCATCACAAAGCCTTTTAGCGAGGATGGCCAGCACCGACCCGTTTACCCCTCAGAGGTACACCGCATCACAACACCAGTAAAGCATTCGGCCCTGGAGGGAGGGGAGTGGGTTCCCAGTGGACACTGAAGTGAAGGGGTTGCTCGTCGCATAGGTGCCTGTGCTTGGCGCGCCACAAGGGTTCGGCTTGGTAACAGCAGAACCCTTGTGGCTCTGCTTCGCTGCCCTTTCAGCTCCCACCCTTTCACCCCACCTTCATCCCTTGCTGCCATGCTACTGCCGCCAGGCGGGCACCACTTACATCCCTTTCCCCCATTTCCCCCCGTTTCCGCTCTCCGCCGCCCTCCTTCCCCCTCGTCTTTCCACACCAGTGCCGCCAGGCGGGCACCACCTACAGGGGCGACTTCCGAATCGACTTCCTTTCCACCATCCCCCACACCCCTCCTCGCCCCGTTTTTGCCCTCTTCCCCTTCGTCTCTCCCACACCAGTGTCGCCAGGCGGGCACCACCTACCGGGGCGACTTCCGCATCGACCTCTGCGTCTCCTACTTTGACGAGGACGATGACGTGGCGCTTGCTGACGTGGCGAAGGGTCCCATGCAGCGCCAGCAGCTGAGCCTGGGCAGGGTGCCAATCATGGTCAAGGTGTGTGTGTGCTGAGCTGACGTGGCACGAGCGAGTGCGATTAAGTTGAAGTACAGAAGAAGTAATTTGATGTGCAATGTGTTGAGGCGCCTCAAAAGGCGATCGCATGCAGTCCCTCTCAGAAGCAGCTCGTGTGAACTTTTGAGACTTGAGTACTCATGCGTGCCCATCTTCACCCCTGTGTATCCCTGCGTGGCGATGTGTACCCCTGTGCACCCCTGCGTATGCCTCTGTACCCCTGTGCACCCCTGCAGTCCGGTTCATGTCATCTGCGCCACCTCACGCAGGAGCAGCTCGTGCGGCGCAAGGAGGAGAGCATCGAGCTCGGCGGGTGAGCTGGACTAAGCCTTGTGTGTCGAACTGGGTTTGCTGTGCGGTTCTGGGTTTTGTGGGGAGAGCGCGGGGGAGAGCGAGGGGGTGGTGCTGAGCCACCCGCGCCACCTCACTCAGGAGCAGCTCGTGCGGCGCAAGGAGGAGAGCATCGAGCTCGGCGGGTGAGCTTGGCCGGGCCTTGTGCTCAATGGTTCTGTGCGGGGCTGTTCTGTTCTGTTCGGTGCCGTGTGGTTCAGAATTTCGACATAGTGCAAGCAAAATGTCAATAGGAGATTCTGTTTTCTTTCTCCTAGCCGTTGCCAGCACTGTATGCTCTCTCCCCATGCAAAGTTCCATCCCATGCCCCGCCCAACCCTAATCTTAATTTACAATCGCCCATTGGCGCCCGTTGGATTCCCATTCCCTGTCAGTCATTCCCGTTTGATCATTTCCAAAAAGGAGTCATATCCTGCCATGCCCCTTAATGCCACCACCCCCATCGTCCACTACATGTAAAGTGCCCATGTGCCATGCCCCACCCACCATATGCCGTGCCATCCCTTCCCCGTCACAGCTACTTCATCTGCAACGGCATCGAGCGTCTCATCCGCCTGCTCATTGCTCCCCGCCGCAACTATGTGAGGGGAACGGGTGGTGTGAGGGGAATGGTGGTGTGAGGGGAATGGTGGTGTGAGGGGAATGGTGGTGTGAGGGGAATGGTGGTGTGAGGGGAATGGTGGTGTGAGGGGAATGGTGGTGTGAGGGGAATGGTGGTGTGAGGGGAATGGTGGTGTGAGGGGAATGGTGGTGTGAGGGGAATGGTGGTGTGAGGGGAATGGTGGTGTGAGGCGAATGGTGGTGTGAGGCGAATGGTGGTGTGAGGCGAATGGTACATTTATGAGAGGGCGTTTTTATTTTTTCACACGGTCGATCCTGCTGTTTTTTTAAATAGGCTCTGTGCTTTCAACTAGGGATTCGTGCCGTGACGTGACTCAAGCGCAGGTATTGAGCACAGCTTGCCGTTGCTCCCGCTCCCTGCTTTCTCCCCCCCCCCACCACCACCAGGTGATGAATCTGCGGCGCCCCACGCTGCTAAAGAAGGGGCTCAACTTCAGTGACATGGCCACCACCATCCGGTGAGAAATCACTTTTGAGAATTCTCAAAAGTGACTTCTCAGACATGGCCACCACCATCCGGTGAGCATGCGATGCGGTGCAGGTGGTATGTGAACGCGCATGGTATGGCGTGTGGTGTGTGCTGTGCTGTTGTGAGCATGGTAAAATAGTTCCCCACGCTGCTGAGCAGTGAATGAGCCCTTTTCTCAGCGGCAGGGCTCAACTTCTCGGGTATGGTATGGTATGGTATGGTATGGTATGGTATGGTATGGTATGGTATGGTATGGTATGGTATGGCCACCACCATTCGGTGAGGTGGGCAGCTTGCTGTGGCCCACTTTTGAGAATTCTCAAAGGTGGGCAGCTGGCTGTGGCCCGTGGGTGCTTTTTGTGTGAACGCGCATGGTATGGGGTGCGGTGCGGTGGCTATGCTGTTGTGAAGATGGTGGCGCACGTGGCGAGGAGAAGCATGCATGTGCGTGCATGCATCACAAAGGGCGGCCTGTGATATGACATGCGTCATCATGATATTATGTGCATTATGTGGTGTGGCATGGTGACTCAACTGACATGGTGGCATGGCATGGTGTTCTTCCATACTATGCGTGTTTGGCATGTGGTGCATGTGGTGCATGTGGTGCATGTGGTGCATGTGGTGCATGTGGTGCATGTGGTGCATGTGGTGCATGTGGTGCATGTGGTGCATGTGGTGCATGTGGTGCATGTGGTGCATGTGGTGCATGTGGTGCATGTGGTGCATGTGGTGCATGTGGTGCATGTGGTGCATGTGGTGCATGTGGTGCATGTGGTGCATGTGGTGCATGTGGTGCATGTGGTGCATGTGGTGCATGTGGTGCATGTGGTGCATGTGGTGCATGTGGTGCATGTGGTGCATGTGGTGCATGTGGTGCATGTGGTGCATGTGGTGCATGTGGTGCATGTGGTGCATGTGGTGCATGTGGTGCATGTGGTGCATGTGGTGCATGTGGTGCATGTGGTGCATGTGGTGCATGTGGTGCATGTGGTGCATGTGGTGCATGTGGTGCATGTGGTGCATGTGGTCATGTGGTGCATGTGGTGCATGTGGTGCATGTGGTGCATGTGGTGCATGTGGTGCATGTGGTGCATGTGGTGCATGTGGTGCATGTGGTGCATGTGGTGCATTGTGGTGCATGTGGTGCATGTGGTGCATGTGGTGCATGTGGTGCATGTGGTGCATGTGGTGCATGTGGTGCATGTGGTGCATGTGGTGCATGTGGTGCATGTGGTGCATGTGGTGCATGTGTGCATGTGGTGCATGTGGTGCATGTGGTGCATGTGGTGCATGTGGTGCATGTGGTGCATGTGGTGCATGTGGTGCATGTGGTGCATGTGGTGCATGTGGTGCATGTGGTGCATGTGGTGCATGTGGTGCATGTGGTGCATGTGGTGCATGTGGTGCATGTGGTGCATGCAGGTGTGTGCGCACGGACCAATCAGCAGTGACCAACCGGGTCGTCTACGTCAACGACGGCAACGCATGCTTCAACTTCTCGTCAGTCCTGCCTTCCCTTCACTCCCTCCCTCCCTCCAACCTACCTCCCTCCGTCCACCCTCCCTCCCTCCACCACCCTTCCCTCCACTACCCCTCCACACCCCTCCACCCTCTCTCCCTCCACCTCCCCTCCACCCTCCCTCCCCGCCCTCCTCCCTTCCCACCTCTCCCACCTCTCCCTCCCCACCCCACCCCTCACTCAGATCACCACCCTCTCCTCTCCCTCCCCTCCAGTCAGCCTGCCTCTCTTTCCCCTCTCCTTCCTCACTTCCCGTTTCTTCCGCACCATTCCCCCTTCCCACCAGTCACTGCAAGTCTGCACATGCACATGCACATGCACTCCCCCATCTGATCCCTCCTCCCTGACCACTCCACTCACTCTGCCACTGATGCCCCAGTTTTCTCTCCTTCCTTCCTCCACCCACACTCCCTCTCTGCATCTACTCTCCCCTACAGCCTGAGGAAGCAAGAGTATTTCATCCCCGTGGGGATCATTCTCAAGGTGAGCTTCAGTGCGGTGGTGAACGGTACGTGTGGGTGCTGTGCCGGAATTCCCAAGCTCACGCGCTTCTTTTTTGTCGTGGCACCACCAGTATCATTCATTCCCTATCATTGTGCCTGTTTTGGTCCAATCAACTGCTCACGGAACAACGGACAGTCCAGATGCAGAGCGTCTATCCTCATCCGACGGCTTACCTGGCTTCTTGTTCCATCTACCTCCTCCCCCCCTCCCACCCTTCCGTCCGTAATCCCCCTCCCTCCCAGTGCCTAGTGAACGTCTCAGATGCAGAGCTTCTATCCTCATCCTTCGGCTTACCTGGCTTCTTGTCCATCTACCTCCCCGCCTCCCACCCTTCCGTAATCCCCCCTCCCTCCCTTCCGTATTCGTCCCCTCCCTCCCAGTGCCTAGTGGACGTCTCAGATGCAGAGCTGTACGAGCATCTGACGGCCATCCTCACAGCACAGCAGGCTGCAGCCGACCCTCCGGAGACCGACACGCAGCTCGCACCAACCGAAGGAGGAGCAGCAGAGGCAGCCACAAAACCACCGGCGGCGGCAGCGGCGGCGGGGTTGGGAACGCAGTTTGTGAGGGAGAGGGCGCTGGTGGTGTTGAGTCACCCGCGCTCTCTGGGCCTCTTCACTCGCATGGAGTGTCTGGCTTTCCTTGGAAAGACCTTCCGACCTGCTGTCAACGTTCCCAGCTACAAGCCAGACGCATATGTGAGTGGCGTGGCAGTCAATCATAATGGGCTTGTGCTCGTCCATGCCTTCTCCTTCCCACGCATCCTCTTCCTCCCCCCTTTCCGACTCCCTCTGTTCCTCTCTGCTCCCCACCTCTGCAACCCCCCCTTCCACAGGTGGGGCTGCAGACCATCGCGGACCTTGCTTGCACTCCTGCGCCTCTCTTCCTCCTTTTGCTGCCTCCTCTCATGCACGCTGTCTACTTTTGAGGCGCCTCAAACTTAGTTCTGCCTCCTCTCATGCATGCTGTCACCTTCTTTTCCCTCCCTCGCCTCCCTCTCTCGTCCATCCCACAGGTGGGGCAGCAGATCATAGCGGACCTGGTGCTAGTGCATCTCGACAAACCCATGGACAAGCTGCGCCTGCTCGTGTGAGTTGACCTTCCCTCCACATGTCCTCCACTTCCATCCATGTGCCTCCCTGTACAGTACCCTCCACGTGCCTCCTCCACACATGCCCCAACGGGCCTAGTGCGTCTCGGCAAGCCCATGAACAATCTGCGCCTCCTTGGCTCGTTATAGGGCTCATCTCCCCCCTTTTGCGCTCGGCTCTCTTTGCCTTGTGCCTGTGCCTGCCTCTTTCTGATGTCTTCGTGCCTCCACCCCTCCCTCTCAGTTTCATGCTGCACAAGCTGTGGTCGATGGTGGATGGGCTATCCCAGGAGGACAGAGTGGACACACGCTCATGCATCACGAGCTCTAATGCACGTCACCTCCCCTCTTGTGCTTGTGCCCCTCTCCCCCCCATTAACAGCTTCATGCTGCACAAGCTATGGTCGATGGTGGACGGGCTATCACAGGAGGACTCAATGGACACGCTCATGCATCACGAGCTCTACCTGCCAGGCCACATCCTCAACATCTTCATCAAGGTCCGCTCCCTCTCTCTCTTGCTCTCTCCCTGCGCTCTCCATGCTCTCTCAATCTTCTTTTCCTGCTGTCTTCCTGAGTCATCTCATGCATCACGAGCTCTACCTGCCCGGCCACATCCTCAACATCTTCATCAAGGTCCGTCCGCTCTCCTTCCCTGCCTGCATGCACGACGCAAGGGCAGCACATGCTCCCACTCTCTTTGGGTTGACTCTCAAGACAGGCTCATGCATCACGAGCTCTACCTGCCCGGCCACATCCTCAACATCTTCATCAAGGTCCGCTCCCTCTCTAAGAAGTTGTAACTGCTGCACTCCCTATGCCTGCCTATGGAACGCACCCCTCCCCTCCCCTCCCCTCCCCTCCCCTTGTGCCCCCTTCCCTTCTCCGTATTCCACATTCCCCCATCACAGGAGAAGCTCCAGCTATACTTATGCAGCTTTCGTTTCACTTCTCCTCCCCGTTGCCCTTGTCAACCCCCCCCCCCCTTCCCTTCCCTTCCCTCCCATCCCCTTCCCTTCCCTCCCGGCCCCTTCCGTTCCCTCCCCTTACCTTCCCTTCTCCATACCCCACATTCCACCATATCAGGAGAATCTACAGCTGCACAAGATCCAAGCGCATGCCGCCCCCCCTCCTCACTTCTCCCCCCTTCCTTTCCCTGCCCCGTATCCCGCACTCCACCCTCTCAGGAGAAGCTGCAGCTACACCGGCACAAGATACACGCGCATGCGGCATGCCACCCACCCCTTTCCTCCCCTCCGCTCCCCTCCCCTCCCCTTGTTTCCCTTTCCCTTTCACTCTTCTCCACCTCAGGAGAAGCTGCAGGTACACCTGCACAAGATCCAAGCGCACGCCGCCCAGGAGCTCGTCGACAACCCCACCACCACGGACCTCCGCGCCTCCAACTGGCTGCGCCGCCTCGTCGAGGGCGGCCGGCCCGGGGCGGCAGGGGCGGCAGGGGTGGCGCCGGCGGGTGGGCTTTCGATGACGTTTATAGGGAAGGACATCGAGTACATGCTGAACACGGGGAATCTGGCGAGCCCGTCTGGGCTGGACATGCAACAGAGGTCGGGGTTCACTGTGGTGGCGGATAAGCTCAACTGGCACCGCTACCTCTCGCATTTCCGCTCCGTGCATCGAGGAGCGTTCTTCTCCACTCTTCGGACGACTACTGTGCGCAAGCTGCTGCCCGAGTGAGTAGGGTGAACGGGGGGAGAGGGGGATAGGGCGGCTGTGTGGTGTGGTGAGGGTGCCTGAAGGCTAAGCCCGTCAGGGCTGGGCTGGCGATGACGTTTATAGGGAAGGACATCGAGTACATGCTGAACACGGGGAACCTGGCGAGCCCGTCGGGGCTGGACATGCAACAGAGGTCGGGGTTCACGGTGGTGGCGGATAAGCTCAACTGGCACCGCTACCTGTCTCACTTTAGATCCGTGCATCGAGGGGCGTTCTTCTCCACTCTTCGGACCACCACTGTGCGCAAGCTGCTGCCAGAGTGAGTGTGCTTTAGTGTGGGGGTGGGAGTGCGAGTGGGAGTGGGAGGGAGGGGGGTGTAATAGAGCTCGTGAGGGCTGGACATGTCTCAGAGGTCGGGGTTCACGGTGGTGGCGGATAAGCTGAACTGGCATCGGTTCCTCTCTCACTTTAGGTCCGTGCATCTCCACTCTTCGCACCACCACCGTGCGCAAGCTGTTGCCAGAGTGAGTGCGGTGAGGGGGGGGGGGAGAGAGAGGGGGATAGGGCTGTGTGGTGAGAGTGCCTGAGGGGATCAGCTGAACTGGCATCGGTTCCTCTCTCACTTTAGGTCCGTGCATCTCCACTCTTCGCACCACCACCGTGCGCAAGCTGTTGCCAGAGTGAGTGCGGTGAGGGGGGGGGAAGAGAGAGGGGGATAGGGCTGTGTGGTGAGAGTGCCTGAGGGGATAAGCTGAACTGGCATCGGTACCTGCCTCACTTTTGGTCAGTGCATTAAGGAGTTTTTTTCTCCACTCTCCGCGCCACCACTGTGCGCAAGCTGTTGTAAGAGTGAGTGCGCCTAGTGGGGTGGGGGGCGGAGGTGGGAGGGGTGGGGACCCTCTACGGCCTTCTCAACCACTCAAGGAGTAGCGCTGCAATTTTCTGCAATTTTCTGCAATCCTCTCTCCTCAATTTCTCATCTTCCAGTGTCCCCTCCTTGCGTCTCACCCCATAATTGCAGGTCGTGGGGGTTCGTGTGTCCCGTGCACACACCAGACGGCGCCCCCTGTGGCCTGCTCACCCACCTCTCAGCCCCATGTACAGTCACCGCCAACCTCAACCCCCCTTCCCTCTTTTCCACCCACCCCGTCTCATCTCACGGCAGGTCGTGGGGGTTCGTGTGTCCCGTGCACACACCCGATGGGGCCCCCTGCGGTCTCCTCACTCACCTGTCAGCCCCATGCACTGTCACCACCGACCTCACTCCCCCTCCCCTCGCCTCCCCCTCCCCCTCCGCCCCCTCCTCCTCCTTAGCCCTCCTCCCCTCCACCCCTGGCTCTGCTCTCGTCCCCCACACCCCCTCCACACCTGCCGGAACTCCCGGAGCAGCCTCCCTAGCCTCGGGGCTGGGTTCGGGGGTAGGCTCGGTGAAGTCCCGCGACGCGATTGGCCGAGCGGTGCTGCGGTGTCTGGCGCCGTTTGGGCTGGCGGCGGTGGGGGCGGGGGTGCCGCCCCCTGCCCCGCCTCCAGTGTTTCTGACGGTGATGGTCGATGGGTGTCTACTGGGGCACATTCACTCAGAAATGGCACCGGCCGCGGTGAAGCATCTGAGGTGCCTTAAGGCCACTGGGGAGGCTGGGGTGAGTGGCACTAACTGTTTGTTCCCCTACTTGTGAGTGTGGTATGCAGTTCAGTGGGGCTAGTGGCAGTGTCTCTGACGGTGATGGTGGATGGGTGTGTGATGGGGCACATTCATTCCGAGATGGCACCGGCTGGGGTGAAGCATCCGAGTGGCTCTAAATGTGTGTTTCTATGGTTGGGGTGTGGTTTGGACACCATTATCATTACCATCACCGTTACCATCACAATTACCATCACCGTCACCATTACCATAACCATCACCGTTACCATTACAATTACCATCACTGTTACCATTACAATTACCATCACCGTCACCATTACAATTACCATCACCGTCACCATTACAATTACCATCACTGTTACCATTACAATTACCATCACCGTCACCATTTCAATTACCATCACCGTCACCACTACAATTACCATCACCGTTACCATTACAATTACCATCACCGTCACCATTACCATTGCCATCACCGTTACCATTACAATTACCATCACCGTCACCATTACCATTACCATTACCATCACCGTTACCATTACAATTACCATCACCGTCACCATTACCATTGCCATCACCGTTACCATTACAATTACCATCACCGTCATCATTACCATTACCATTACCATCACCGTTACCATTACAATTACCATCACCGTCACCATTACCATTACCATCACCATCACGGTTACCATTACAATTACCATCACCGTCACCGTTACCATTACCATCACCGTTACCATTACCATTAACATTACCATCACCGTTATCATTACCATCACCGTTCCCATTACCATTAGCATTACCATTATTATTACCATTACCACTACCATAACTATCACCAATACCAATACCATTACCTCCACCTTTCCCCTTTTTCCACTCCAACCCATGTTTCCCTTCTTCCACCCCCCCGCACCCAAACCTCCCCCCTCTGCTCGCAGATCCCTCGGGACCTAGAGGTCGCCTTCATCCCCTTCTCCCAGCAAGGAACCTTCCCGGGCATTTTCCTCTTCTCTGCGCCGGCTCGCTTCGTTCGGCCTGTGCGGCAGCTGCCCTCCCTCAACCCCAGGGCCGCCGCTGCACCCACCTTCGAGCTCATTGGCAGCCTCGAGCAGGTGAGCACTGGGGCAGGTGGGCACTGGGGCAGGTGGGCACTGGGGCAGGTGGGCACTGGAGCAGGTGGGCACTGGAGCAGGTGGGCACTGGGGCAGGTGGGTACTGGAGCAGGTGGGCACTGGAGTAGCAGTAGTAGCAACGAGAACGGCATGGGAGCGAGGTAGGTAGAGTACACGTGGTGGGCGTGGGCATGTGAGAAGCAGAGCAGAGCACTGAGCTACATCTGCTGGGTTCTGCTTCTCATGCGCCCACGCCCACCATGCACTCACAGGACTACAACGTTCCCTATCCACTCACAGGACTACAACTCTCCCTATCCACTCACAGGACTACAACTCTCCCTATCCACTCACAGGACTACAACTCTCCCTATCCACTCACAGGACTACAACTCTCCCTATCCACTCACAGGACTACAACTCTCCCTATCCACTCACAGGACTACAACTCTCCCTATCCACTCACAGGACTACAACTCTCCCTATCCACTCACAGGACTACAACTCTCCCTATCCACTCACAGGACTACAACTCTCCCTATCCACTCACAGGACTACAACTCTCCCTATCCACTCACAGGACTACAACTCTCCCTATCCACTCACAGGACTACAACTCTCCCTATCCACTCACAGGACTACAACTCTCCCTATCCACTCACAGGACTACAACTCTCCCTATCCACTCACAGGACTACAACTCTCCCTATCCACTCACAGGACTACAACTCTCCCTATCCACTCACAGGACTACAACTCTCCCTATCCACTCACAGGACTACAACTTCCCTATCCACTCACAGGACTACAACTCTCCCTATCCACTCACAGGACTACAACTCTCCCTATCCACTCACAGGACTACAACTCTCCCTATCCACTCACAGGACTACAACTCTCCCTATCCACTCACAGGACTACAACTCTCCCTATCCACTCACAGGACTACAACTCTCCCTATCCACTCACAGGACTACAACTCTCCCTATCCACTCACAGGACTACAACTCTCCCTATCCACTCACAGGACTACAACTCTCCCTATCCACTCACAGGACTACAACTCTCCCTATCCACTCACAGGACTACAACTCTCCCTATCCACTCACAGGACTACAACTCTCCCTATCCACTCACAGGACTACAACTCTCCCTATCCACTCACAGGACTACAACTCTCCCTATCCACTCACAGGACTACAACTCTCCCTATCCACTCACAGGACTACAACTCTCCCTATCCACTCACAGGACTACAACTCTCCCTATCCACTCACAGGACTACAACTCTCCCTATCCACTCACAGGACTACAACTCTCCCTATCCACTCACAGGACTACAACTCTCCCTATCCACTCACAGGACTACAACTCTCCCTATCCACTCACAGGACTACAACTCTCCCTATCCACTCACAGGACTACAACTCTCCCTATCCACTCACAGGACTACAACTCTCCCTATCCACTCACAGGACTACAACTCTCCCTATCCACTCACAGGACTACAACTCTACTCTCCCTATCCACTCACAGGACTACAACTCTCCCTATCCACTCACAGGACTACAACTCTCCCTATCCACTCACAGGACTACAACTCTCCCTATCCACTCACAGGACTACAACTCTCCCTATCCACTCACAGGACTACAACTCTCCCTATCCACTCACAGGACTACAACTCTCCCTATCCACTCACAGGACTACAACTCTCCCTATCCACTCACAGGACTACAACTCTCCCTATCCACTCACAGGACTACAACTCTCCCTATCCACTCACAGGACTACAACTCTCCCTATCCACTCACAGGACTACAACTCTCCCTATCCACTCACAGGACTACAACTCTCCCTATCCACTCACAGGACTACAACTCTCCCTATCCACTCACAGGACTACAACTCTCCCTATCCACTCACAGGACTACAACTCTCCCTATCCACTCACAGGACTACAACTCTCCCTATCCACTCACAGGACTACAACTCTCCCTATCCACTCACAGGACTACAACTCTCCCTATCCACTCACAGGACTACAACTCTCCCTATCCACTCACAGGACTACAACTCTCCCTATCCACTCACAGGACTACAACTCTCCCTATCCACTCACAGGACTACAACTCTCCCTATCCACTCACAGGACTACAACTCTCCCTATCCACTCACAGGACTACAACTCTCCCTATCCACTCACAGGACTACAACTCTCCCTATCCACTCACAGGACTACAACTCTCCCTATCCACTCACAGGACTACAACTCTCCCTATCCACTCACAGGACTACAACTCTCCCTATCCACTCACAGGACTACAACTCTCCCTATCCACTCACAGGACTACAACTCTCCCTATCCACTCACAGGACTACAACTCTCCCTATCCACTCACAGGACTACAACTCTCCCTATCCACTCACAGGACTACAACTCTCCCTATCCACTCACAGGACTACAACTCTCCCTATCCACTCACAGGACTACAACTCTCCCTATCCACTCACAGGACTACAACTCTCCCTATCCACTCACAGGACTACAACTCTCCCTATCCACTCACAGGACTACAACTCTCCCTATCCACTCACAGGACTACAACTCTCCCTATCCACTCACAGGACTACAACTCTCCCTATCCACTCACAGGACTACAACTCTCCCTATCCACTCACAGGACTACAACTCTCCCTATCCACTCACAGGACTACAACTCTCCCTATCCACTCACAGGACTACAACTCTCCCTATCCACTCACAGGACTACAACTCTCCCTATCCACTCACAGGACTACAACTCTCCCTATCCACTCACAGGACTACAACTCTCCCTATCCACTCACAGGACTACAACTCTCCCTATCCACTCACAGGACTACAACTCTCCCTATCCACTCACAGGACTACAACTCTCCCTATCCACTCACAGGACTACAACTCTCCCTATCCACTCACAGGACTACAACTCTCCCTATCCACTCACAGGACTACAACTCTCCCTATCCACTCACAGGACTACAACTCTCCCTATCCACTCACAGGACTACAACTCTCCCTATCCACTCACAGGACTACAACTCTCCCTATCCACTCACAGGACTACAACTCTCCCTATCCACTCACAGGACTACAACTCTCCCTATCCACTCACAGGACTACAACTCTCCCTATCCACTCACAGGACTACAACTCTCCCTATCCACTCACAGGACTACAACTCTCCCTATCCACTCACAGGACTACAACTCTCCCTATCCACTCACAGGACTACAACTCTCCCTATCCACTCACAGGACTACAACTCTCCCTATCCACTCACAGGACTACAACTCTCCCTATCCACTCACAGGACTACAACTCTCCCTATCCACTCACAGGACTACAACTCTCCCTATCCACTCACAGGACTACAACTCTCCCTATCCACTCACAGGACTACAACTCTCCCTATCCACTCACAGGACTACAACTCTCCCTATCCACTCACAGGACTACAACTCTCCCTATCCACTCACAGGACTACAACTCTCCCTATCCACTCACAGGACTACAACTCTCCCTATCCACTCACAGGACTACAACTCTCCCTATCCACTCACAGGACTACAACTCTCCCTATCCACTCACAGGACTACAACTCTCCCTATCCACTCACAGGACTACAACTCTCCCTATCCACTCACAGGACTACAACTCTCCCTATCCACTCACAGGACTACAACTCTCCCTATCCACTCACAGGACTACAACTCTCCCTATCCACTCACAGGACTACAACTCTCCCTATCCACTCACAGGACTACAACTCTCCCTATCCACTCACAGGACTACAACTCTCCCTATCCACTCACAGGACTACAACTCTCCCTATCCACTCACAGGACTACAACTCTCCCTATCCACTCACAGGACTACAACTCTCCCTATCCACTCACAGGACTACAACTCTCCCTATCCACTCACAGGACTACAACTCTCCCTATCCACTCACAGGACTACAACTCTCCCTATCCACTCACAGGACTACAACTCTCCCTATCCACTCACAGGACTACAACTCTCCCTATCCACTCACAGGACTACAACTCTCCCTATCCACTCACAGGACTACAACTCTCCCTATCCACTCACAGGACTACAACTCTCCCTATCCACTCACAGGACTACAACTCTCCCTATCCACTCACAGGACTACAACTCTCCCTATCCACTCACAGGACTACAACTCTCCCATGTCTCTTTCTTTCTTCTCCCACTTTTCCGCTTTCTCTCTTGTACCCCGTCTCCCCCTTCCCCCCTACTCCTTTCCGTCTCTTCTCCTTCATCCCCCTCTTCCTCCCTTCCTATCAGGTCTTTCTCGACGTGCTCTGCCCGGATGCTCATCGTGAATTTCAAGTCGACGCAAAATTCCCTCTCCCCGTCCTCTTCCTCCCCCACCCCTTCCCGGCCTTTCTCCCCCGGCAGGTCTTTCTCGACGTGCTCTGCCCCGATGGTTCGTCGGCCCCTTCCGCCCCGTCCGGCCAAGCCTCGGCGACAGGTTCGGCGACGCACGAGGAGGTTCGGCCGACGGATATCCTGAGTGTGATGGCGAGCCTGACCCCTTGGTCCGATTACAACCAGAGCCCCCGCAACATGTACCAGTGCCAGGTCAGCACAGGATGTACCAGTGCCTGGTCAGCACAATATGTACCAGTGCCAGGTCAGCACAATATGTACCAGTGCCAGTTCAGCACAGCATGTATCCTTGACAGGTCAGCACAGCTTGTACAAGTGTCAGGTCAGCACAGCATGTACCAGTGCCAGGTCAGCATTGAATAGCACCCTTTTTCATGTGCTGCTGATGTGCTCTTACTGCCCATCGTCTCAACATGGATGTGTGTGTGTGTTGGCCCACCATGCATGTGTCTCATGTGTCTCATGTGTTTGTATACAACAGATGGGCAAGCAAACGATGGGCATGCCGCTGCACTCGTTCCCCTTCCGCAATGACAACAAGCTGTACCGCCCGCAGACGCCGCAGACACCCCCAATGCTCCTTCCTTGCTCCACATCTTGAGGCGCTTCCAGTGCCCTTCTTTCTCCCCTGCATGTGTGTATGTGCACCTGTGTATGTATGCTCCCATCCCATCTTTGTGTGTCCACTCATCAGATGGGGAAGCAAACGATGGGCATGCCGCTGCACTCCTTCCCCTTCCGCAACGACAACAAGCTGTACCGCCTGCAGACGCCCCAGACACCCATCGCACGCACGGCAGCGTATGACGACTATGCCATGGACCACTACCCCACTGGGGCCAATGCTGTCGTGGCCGTGCTTGCCTATACTGGGTACGTGCTTATACCGGTTATGTGCTTATGCTGGGTATGTGGGGTGCTCTATAAGGGGGATGGATGGGTAAGGAGCAGCACGGCAGCGTATGACGACTATTCCATGGATCACTACCCCATTGGGGCCAACGCTGTGGTGGCCGTGCTTGCTTATACCAGGTATGTGCTTATACCGGGTATGTGGGGTGTGTTATAAAGAGGATGAATCATGGATGGGTGAACGGGGTCAGCACGGCAGCATATGACGACTATGCCATGGATCACTACCCCACTGGGGCCAATGCTGTCGTTGCGGTGCTGGCTTATACTGGGTATGTGCTTATACCGGGTATGTGCCTATACCGGGTTTGTGCCTATACTGGGTATGTGGGATGGGGTGCTCTATAAGGGGGATGGATGGGTGGGCAGCAGCACCGCAGCGTATGACGACTATGCCATGGACCACTACACCACGGGGGCCAATGCCGTAGTGGCCGTGCTGGCTTATACGGGGTATGTGCTTATATCGAGTATGTGGGGTGTGCTATGAGGGGGATGGGTGAGTGAGTGGGCAGCAGCACGGCAGCGTATGATGAATATGCCAAGGATCAATACCCGACGGGAGCCAATGCTGTGGTGGCCGTGCTGGCTTATACCGGGTATGTGCTTAACCAGGTATGTGGGGTTTGCTGTAAGGGGTACACCTCATAGTTGTACACGACTCCCATGGCTGTGCGTCCGCTCTATCTCACACGTCCCACTCGCTTGTTTCCTTCCAACGCCATGTGTGCCCGTTACCCGCCATTCATCTGCCTATTCACCTGCCCGTTCACCTGCCCGTACACCTGCCCATGCACCTGCCCGTTCACCTGCCCGTGCACCAGGTACGACATGGAGGATGCGATGATCATCAACAAGTCGTCCATGGAGAGGGGCTTTGGCCACGGTTACATCTACAAGGTACGGTTACATCTACAAGGTACGGTTACATCTACAACGTACGGTTACATCTACAAGGTACGGTTACATCTACAATGTACGGTTACATCTACAAGGTACGGTTAAATCTACAAGGTACGGTTACATCTACAAGGTACGGTTACATCTACAAGGTACGGTTACATCTACAATGTACGGTTACATCTACAAGGTACGGTTACATCAACAAGTTACGGTAACATCTTCAAGGTGCGGTTACATCTACAAGGTACGATTACCTCTACAAGGTACGGATACATCTGCAAGGTACGGTTACATCTGCAAGGTACAGTTACATCCACATGGTACTGTTAGTTCTACAATGCACCTGAGCCAATTCGATACCCACCCACGCCCTGTACCCTCATGAGCCTCCTTTCGTTTTGCCACATCTCTGTCTTGCCGCCCGCCCGCCGCCCGGATCCCACTCCGTAACAGAACGAAGTGATCGAGGCGACCCAGGGCTCAGCGGCACGTGTGGCCAAGTTCACGCCGTCCGGGCTGCCCGTGCAGATGCTGGGGCGGGCGGCCAGTCACCGACGCGGACACAAGTGGACCATCGACACAGATGGGCTGCCCCGCCCTGGGGAGGTGCGTGGTTTGAGGGAGGAAGGGGGCCGGAGGGAACAGGTGCGGGCACAAGTGGGGGCTGGGAACAGGCGAGGGCACAAGTGGACTATTGACACTGATGGGCTGCCCCGCCCTGGGGAGTTGCGTGGATGAACCACGGGATCAAAGGGGAGAAAGGGAGACAGTGGAGGGGGGAGGGAGGCGTGGTCAGATGGGCGGACGGGTGGACTGATGGGTGGACGGGCAGAGGGAGGGAGAAGGGGAGGGGTTTGCGAGTGCAGATGTTGGGGTGGGCGGCTAGCAACAGGTGCGCGCAGAATTGGACCATTGGCTCTGATGGAGCTTCCTCTATTGGCCCCCACTTCCCATACCCCCTTCTAACACATCACGAGTGGTGACGTGTATGCATGCAAGGTGAACACGGTGACAGGCAAGGCGGACGAGATAAAGCTGAAGCTATTTATGTAACCCGTTCCTTCCCCCCCTTCCTACTGCTGCCCCGTCCACTGTCGCCCCTCCCTCTGTGCCCCGCTGACAGCACATCACGAGTGGTGACGTGTACGCATGCAAGGTGAACACGGTGACGGGCAAGGCGGACGAGATCAAGCTCAAGGGGTCAGAAGACGCGGTGGTGGACGGGGTCACGCTCATCGGCACCGGCGCTAAGACAGCGCTCACTAAGGTATGTGGGGACATTCAGCTAAGTAGGCACAGGGGGATTGTTGGGGGGGGGGGGTGGTTCACTGGGACCATGAGCGGACGAGGTGAAGCTCAGGGGGTGGGAGGATGCGGTGGTGGATGGGGTCACGCTCATCGGCACCGGCGCTAAGACTGCGCTCACTAAGGTGTGTGAGAGACTCAGATGAGGGGACATTCAGCTAAGTAGGCACAGGGGGATCGTTGGGAGAGGGGAGGGGGGGGGGGGGGGGGGGGGGGGTTTCACTGTGACCATGAGCGGACGAGATCAAGCTCAAGGGGTCAGAGGATGCAGGTGGTGGACGGGGTTACCCTCATCGGCACCGGCGCTAAGACAGCGCTCACCAAGGTGCGCGTGATATTCAGGAGAGTCTTGAGGGAACCAAGGGTGCTGCTGTGAGGGCAGAGGCAGTGCCGTGCAGGCGAGGAGACGTTGAAGGGGTGGGAGGATGCGGTGGTGGACGGGGTTACCCTCATCGGCACTGGCGCTAAGACAGCGCTCACTAAGGTGCGGCCCTGAACCTCGGTGGTGAGGTTTGATAGAAGGTGCAGGAAAGGCGGGGGGGTACTGGGGTCGTCAACGGTGGGGAGGATGGTTGGAGGGGTTGAAGGGGTGGGAGGATGCGGTGGTGGATGGGGTCACGCTCATTGGCACCGGTCCCAAGACAGCTCTCACTAAGGTACGACCCTGTACTGTTGTGGTGAGGTGTGGGAAGGGTGCATGGGAAAAGGGGGGGTTATTCTGAATGTCAGTGGTTAAGAGGGAGGCGCTAAGGCGCTGAAGGAGCTCAAGGGGTGGGAGGATGCGGTGGTGGATGGGGTCACGCTCATCGGCACGGGTCCCAAGACTGCGCTCACTAAGGTGCGAGATGCAATGCACACCCCCCTGGATGCACCCCCCTCGCGTGCACCCCTCGCATTCTGTCAAAGCTGTATCTCCCTCGGCCGCTGGACCCTCTCTGCACCCATCTGCACCCCCCTGTTCCCCCTCTCCCCCAGGCATCTGTGCACATGCGCTTTGGGCGCTTGCCACAAATAGGAGCATGCGCTTTGGGCGCTTGCCACAAATAGGAGCATGCGCTTTGGGCGCTTGCCACAAATAGGAGCATGCGCTTGCCACAAATAGGAGCATGCGCTTTGGGCGCTTGCCACAAATAGGAGCATGCGCTTGCCACAAATAGGAGCATGCGCTTGCCACAAATAGGAGCATGCGCTTTGGCCGCTTGCCACAAATAGGGGGACAAGTTCAGCAGCAGGCACGGGCAGAAGGGCGTGTTGTCACAGCTCTGGCCCGATGTGGACATGCCCTTCGCCTCCTCCTCCTCCCCTGTTAGAATGCCGACCTGCCACCCTCCCTGGATCCCCCTCCCCACCACCTCCGTTGTACCCATCTGCACCCTTCTGCACCCATCTGTACCCCCCTATTCCCCTTTTTCCTTTCCCCGCAGGCATCCGTGCGCATGCGCTTTGGCCGCTTGCCACAGATAGGGGACAAGTTCAGCAGCCGCCACGGGCAGAAGGGAGTGCTGTCACAGCTGTGGCCCGATGTGGACATGCCCTTCGCCTCCTCCTCCGGCATGCGTCCAGACATCATCATCAACCCCCACGCCTTCCCCTCCCGCATGACCATTGGCATGCTCGTTGAGTCCGTGGCTGCAAAGGTGAGTGGATTGTGCTTGAATGTCTCTCCGCTTCTGTCGCCTCCACATTCTATCGCCCACCCCCCTCTCCCTTCGCCTCCTCCTCTGGCATGCGTCCAGACATCATCATCAACCCCCATGCCTTCCCCTCCCGCATGACCATCGGCATGCTCGTCGAGTCAGTTGCAGCCAAGGTGAGTTGAGATGTGCTTGGGTTGGCGTTGCCTTGCTCGTTGGGTCCGTGGTGGCTAGGTTGAGTCCATTTCGCCCCAACCCTCTAATGTTCCCATTTCCCTCACCCCCCCCCCCCCCCCCTCCCTGTTCCCTTGTCTCTCTTTGTATACCCTTTCAACTTGTTTGTTCTGCTTTCCTTCCGCATCATCCCAACCTCCTCCCCTCCATGGCAGGGTGGAGCCTTGCACGGAAACTTCGTGGATGCTTCCCCGTTCCGCCCTGCCATGCCCAACCCTCCGCCGCTCACCATGAGCCTCAAGTCTCGCCAGCCCGCCCAGCGACGTGGCGCTTCCCGATTGGCTCGCTCCTCCGCTGCTACCCCTGGTCCCTCCACCCCTGTGCACCGCTCTAAACTGCACAAGAAATCTGGTGCCCCCCCCACCCCGGCTACTCCTGTCACTCCTGCTGCTGCTGGTGCTGAGAAAGGGCCTGGAAGCTTCACACCCTTGGATCTCCCAACCCCTGCTTCATCTGCCAAGCCTAGCCTGGCTGCCAAGCCTGCTGCAGGTCCGGCGGCAGCAGGTAGGGCGGGAGAATCAAATCAGCCGCAGAATCGCGAGGATCTGGTGGACACATTCGGGCGGCAACTGGTGGAAAAGGGATTCAGTTACTATGGCACAGAGACTATGTACAGCGGAGTGTATGGGTGCGAAATGGAGTGTGAGATTTACCTGGGAGTGGTGTACTATCAGCGGCTACGACACATGGTATCAGATAAATTCCAGGTGCGGTCTACCGGGCCTGTGAACCCGCTCACGCAGCAACCGGTGAAGGGGAGGAAGAAGGGTGGTGGAGTGCGGTTCGGAGAGATGGAGCGCGATGCAATGCTGTCGCACGGCGCGGCGTTTCTCTTACACGACCGGCTACACTCGTGCTCAGACTACCACACCACTGACGTCTGCTCTCTCTGCGGCTCCCTGCTCGCTCCGGCGCTGTCTCGTCCCCGAGGCGGGTCGGCAGGTTCGGACGCAGCTGTGGCGCTAGGTTTGGGGTTGGGGGCTGGCGTGGGGTATGGGACGGTGGGGGGGGAGCTGCGACAGAAGAAGATGGTGTGTCGTGTGTGTGGTACGGGGAAGGGCGTGGTGCGAGTGGCCATGCCCTATGTGTTCAAGTATCTCGCTGCTGAGCTGGCTGCAATGAACATCAAGCTCACACTGGGTGTGTGAGGCCTGTGACTTCTGAGTCTACTTCGAAAGGGCGTGGTGCGAGTGGCGATGCCGTATGTGTTCAAGTATCTGGCGGCTGAGCTGGCAGCAATGAACATCACGCTTACACTGAGTGTGTGGACTGCGGTGTTTCACGTCTCGATGATTTCTTAGGTCGCTGTGGGGGAGTCGATGGCTGGAAGTAAACATGAGGCGCGTCTGAACTCAGCTGCCTTGGGCAACGATGAACATCAAGCTTGCACCGCTGGGCAGGTTTGTGCATCGTTATATGCATGCATGGCTCGCTGGTTAGGCTTCTGTAGTGGAAGCATGGATGTATGCATCATAGAGCTCGCTGCGATGAACATGTAGCTCACACTGGGTGTGTGAATCATGAGTCCTGATATGCATGGCTGTAGTGTAGTCGTTTGTGGTGCGTCGCTGTAGGGGTCTCATGAGCATCTTGGAAGGGTGGCGTGGCGTGACTGCCATTCACAACCTCTAATCAGATTTGTGTCTTGGTGCACTGAATCGAATCCGAACGAACTCGCACTGGGGCGAGTCTGAGAGGTTTGTCGGATTACATGTTGATGGTAATGGCACGGTACTTGTTGTGAGTGATGAGATGTGGTGACATGCTGTGCCACGCCATCTTGTATTGGTAGCAATGCATGGTACGGTGTGCTGAAAGAGGTCTCTCTTACCGAACAACAAATCACTGTTGTCATGCACGCATGCTGCAAAGATGGATGGCATGGGAGGGATGATAGCATTTTTTTCCTGAATAAAACGTAGGGCCCATTATTCATAGCAGGCACAATCTGCTTACGGTACATTATGCTATGGATACAAATTTATTATTACAGAAGAGTTTCGCCCCCTAGAATGCATTGTATAGACAATGCCTCTGCAAAAACATTTGATGTTCTGTGTTAGGGATTCTATACCCACAGAATATCAGTGTAGCTTGTTCATTCCGAGGAAGAACAGTGTCGTTCGTAAGGGCAGGCAGAATCGGATCGCCGCAAAACGAGAACGCGAGAGTGGTCGAGCCGACGCGCCCGCAACCGCCGGTGCTGCTGCTGCTGCTGCCGTTGCTGCGGGTTGCGCTAACCGCGTTGGTGGTGGTGGCGCTGCTGCTGCCGCTGCTGCTGGTGACGACGCTGCTGTGCGTAGAGCTCGGGGCAGGCAGTTGGCTTGCTGATAGCTGCAGGGATGCTGACGGAGGTTGCGACGAAGTAAAAAGCTGGGGCGTAGATAGTATTAGGTGTTGGGTTGTAGCGACGGCGGGTTGAGATGAAGAAAACGGTTGGCACGCTGCCACGGTGACCGCAGCTGGTACATCGTCGTCCAGGCAGAGCGGCGACGCGAGTGGAAGGGATGGGAGTGATGGCAGGTGCAGCGGCGAGGTGAATGGATTCGCGTTTCCAGCGGAGGCAATAGGGGAGAGTAAGGAGCGGGGAAGTGCGCGCGCGCATGCCAGCGCGCTGCACGGCTCGAGGGACAAAGGGGGAAGCGCGGGCGGCGGGCGACGAGAGGACGTGGGCGTGGAAAGCGGCGTGGGCAGCGGCGTGGGGAGAGGCGTCGTGAAACAGGACGAGTCGGCCGCAATACCGTCCGCGCGAGCAACGTCGTCCGCGCGTGCTTCGTTGCCCGCGCAAGCAATGCCGTCCGAGCACGCAATGTCGCGCGCACAAGCAACGGCATCCGCGCAACGGGTTAAATCGGCGGAACTGTCGAATTCGACCTCGCTGCAAGGCGGCTCGTTCATGTCAAAGTCCGGCATATGGAAAGTGCCAGCGCCAGCGGCATTGCGCGCCTCGGCGTTGGAGCCACTGACGTTAGCGTCAACGTCAACGTCAATGTCAGCGTCGGCGGGAACGTCAGCGGGAGCGTGAGCGTGTCGAGCCGACGCGTGCAGGGGCCGAGGGCGAATGTTCCGATCATCTTCCGCGAGGAACGGCCGGAAGCGCTTGTACTTAATCTTGCCGAGGCGCATGTGCGCCGCGGAGTTGGGATCCGTCAAGAGCCCCGACAGCGTCTCCTTCACCGCGCCAATCTTGCGCTTCCGCTGGTGGTTCGTGTGCGCCTGCTGCGCCGTGAGCGCGGGCTGGCTGCTGCTCGCCGCCCCCGGGCGGTTGACGGCCCCCTCGAGCGCGCACAGCATGTGATCGAGCTTGCGGATCTGATGGGGGATAATGGGAGGAGAGAGGAGAGGAGAAAAAGGGTTGGAGTCAAGGAAGGGCCATTGCGTAGATCTGAATAGGCGAGGGCGAGAGTGACGCAAGCAGCAAGTCCGGATTCGCAGACTGGGTACATTTCGTTTAAATGCCAGAGAAATTTCGCAAAAAAAAAAACAAACAAACGAAAAAACGCACAGCTGCTCGTCACGGCGTACCTTGCGGAACGGCCATCGGGCGACGCCATGCTCGCGGCACTGCTGCTTCAGAACCGTCACACACACGCCGAGCTGCACACGCGAATGGGGCGGGGAAGAGGGAGACGACGAGGATGAGCGGAAGGGAGCGGCAAAGAGCAGCAAGGGCCAGCGCGCAAGCGGCTGCCAAATTGATGCAACGCTTTGCATTTATCGATCTAGCCGAAGCGCGGGGAAAGAAAAGCAAAAGGTCAAGTACCTTTCGGGCGGCTTCGCTGATGGGCAGGTGAAAGCTTTCCTTGAGCTCTTGGAGTGTGATTGGCCGCATGCGATGGTTCGCCGGGGTGACCGTTGGAGTCACGGCCAGCGGACTACGTGGCGGGACCGCGCCGCATTGTACTTTCCCGAGAGAGTTCTGAGGAGTGTTTAAACACGGCGCCACACGTTTCGACGTTACGGGAGAGGTATGTGGGGCTTCTGAGCGTGACGTGGCACGCCGGCTCGGCGGCGTCGCAGCGGGCCAACCGACAGATGCGTCGCGGTGACTCAGCGCCTGCTGACTCGATCCAGCTGGACCAGAAGACGCGCCGCGATCTGCGGGACCCGCAGTCGCCATTACGGTGGCGGAAGCGCGTGTGGCGCGCTCTTCGAAGCCAATGGCGGTATCGGCGGGCCCGAGGCGGAGGAGAATCTCCGCCGTGAATGGAGCGACGGGTTGACACATGACAATGGAGGGCGAATTCGAATCGAGTCGACCAGTGAGTCGCAACGAATTTTGACAGCGAATGACGCGTGTGAGTGGATTTCTCGTCAGGATAATCAAGGCCCTGGCAAGGAGGCGTCCTTCGACGCTGAGTCAGAGGTTGCGTGATTTTTCAGTCTCGTCGTTCGATAATCCTCGAGTTTTTTCTTTCAGCCTTGAAGTCGGTAGTGTCCCCGGGCTCCTCTGTGACTTGAAGAAGAGATGCGGTCGTGAATCTGCGGCAAGCACCATGTGTTTCCCAAATCTCACCCGATAAAACGAGGCTTCTAGCCTCTGACTATGGGAGTTACAGTTCAACGCTTGCGCTGCGAGAAGCGTGAGGGCTTAGTTGGCTTCTCGCCTCGGAATGAGGAGGACACGTCACTCCTTTTCTGGTCGGAAGACCCGCCAGTTCTAGCAGACTTTCAAGACAACGTTCGTAACGCGCGGGAAGGCTGTGCTTGCTCTGTAGCGTAAACAGCCAGCCTCTGTTATCCTTCTGTGCGCGTACAGGTTTACGAAGAAGGATAAAATGCAATCATAGCGGTCCGGATGGAATTCGAACAAGGGCTGGGAAATTTCTGTGCGCAGTGGGAAAGGAAAACTCGCGTCCCCTTTTCTGAACGAAAGTGCAATGTGGAGCCGGCTTTCGCAAGATATTTGTTTTTCCGCTCGGGCGCTGGGCAGCTCTCCGCGGTGGTGTACACTGGGGCCATGCTCCGCTTGCTGCCACTAGGTGCCCACGGGCAGCAATGACAGGAAGGGGGCAAGAACTGTCATTAATGAACACTGTAGTTCGCGCACGGGAGGAACGAGAGGCACTGGAGATGAAGAAAAAGCGTTGGTTGATATTTTAACACGTCAGCCACCAAGCTGCTGCTGAGGAGGATTACCGTAGCAACCCTCCAGGTACGGGGAGCACGTGAGGGGATGACGAAAAGATCGGGGTTCAGCGGATGGTTGGTTGCTCTTGAAGCACGGACCACCAAGAGCTTCCTCCATACCTCAACCTCCTCCCACAACACGACACCGAGCCAGGAAGGCCGTCTCTTGGGGTGACAAGAGATGAGGGCAAAGCGAAAGGAATTCCAAACGGGCAACGTTCCAAAATCAAAATTTACCCTGCTGACTCGGTCTGCTACGTCTTTACTACTCACCACTTAATGGCTGCCGACGTTTTTCTCCACGGTTTCTTTCGAGCACTTGTGTCGGCTGTACCCCTCCATGAGAGATATTGTATTAAATTATGGGAGAAAACTTCTCAAAGTTCCATTCTTGGAAACTCTCGTACTTTGTTTAAAGAGAGGTACTAAAAGTACACAACACATCGGCAGTCGTAACTGGGGAAACTCTCGTGATGTATTCCAAAGAGTGATAGGTTCAGCTGATGCGACAGTGAACAGTAGTTCCGGGATGGACCATGTGTGCCCTGTCCATTGTTTTGGGCGCGAAACGACATCCTGGCAACGGCGAATCCGTAACTCCTTTATCTGCCCCTCCATTCTGCTGCAGCCCGCTCCAATTCACACCTGCCAATGAGAAGAAAAAATAAAGCCGTGGCCCAACTATCAACTTCAACTTCAAAGTATTATAGCTTGGAAGAGGTTGACCCAGGCAGTTCAGAGCCGAGAAGTTTGTCCTCTTCTGGTTTTCCAGTTTTTTCGTCCAATAGAATTCAAGTTACTCACATGCCATTTTTGTCCCCCTACTGTTCCTAAGAAGTTGCACCCCGCCTTTAAACGCCAGCAGTGCGAGGGTTAGGAGAAAAAGGCACAGCATGAGGTGTCCTGAGGAATATCCGAAGACCTTTTTTATCGATGCCCACCTGGCAAGCAGTTTTGCTGCCCTTGTTTCTAGAATGTGGGCGAAGGTTCTAGAAGGTTGTGGATGCATGTGGCCTTCAATTTCAGAATTTTCGAATGCAGTGCACGAAAGCCTTCCAGCTGCTTTGGAAATATCTTAATTCTGACCAGAAATCTGAGCCACGTCGACATCGCTCACCAATATTACAAGCATCACGAATCACGCATGCTTTCAATTTGTTCATCGATTGGTTGAGCGATGGGTGGACATGGAGTTGAGAGACGGTCAAGGTACAGTTCTCCAAATTTACACCTTATCCGCCAGCAGTGCAGGGAGAGATGCACGGCACAATGCTGGTCGGGCACAAGTTGAACAGAGCATGTGATGCCTGCTGAGGAGACGTGTGGAGCTGGATCTGGATTGATCTTAGTTTTTCAATTGGCAAGATCACACGGATTTGGGCTGACTGGAACGCGGAGTGTAAGCCTCCTCGTAACAGTAATCACACATATTTTTTTTCTCTTTCATGAGTTTCTCCTTGCCTCAGATTACACACTACATATTTTAAAGCTTCTTACATATAGAGAGAGGGAGTGTAAGGAATTTTCTCGGCATTCCTTACGGAGCCCGACTACATCGCGTACAGCAACAGTTGTTCTTCGCCCGTTACTGCTAACGGGGCTTCGTCGACTTCGCGCGCACTGTATCGCCAAACCTCGCACTGCTGGCCTGGCCGTGTCGGCCTACACTTCGGGACTAGCCCGGGCCTCGCTCCAGCGTAGCACTAGCTAGCTCGCACGCACTGCGTTACCGTTTGCATGTTTCGCATATAAATTTTCGCTCATGCCTTCGCTCACATTTTGTACTCGTTTGACACCTTAGTGCAATTCTCGCTACTTCGATTCATTGCACCCGTAAGACTTGGTATCAGAGCCCCTTTCTTTCGGACCGCGCATCTCCGCACCCCTGGAAATCAACTTTTGATTTTTCACTCGAAGGGACTCACGTACCTTAGCACCTAGGAGCCGCTGTCCTCGCGTTCTCTCGTAAACGCGTGCAGCCACGACTGCGCCTAGACTAAGACGAGCCGACACCCTTCGAAATGGCTGAACATATCGACGTCACGACTCTCACGCAGGAGCACTTGAACGATCTGCTGCGACAAATCCGCGAGAGCGCCGAGGACATCGCGACGCTGACAGCAGAACGCTCGTCCCTGCAAAACGACCTCACACGGGCACAATCCCAGGCACCTGGCACTCCGATTCAGCCCGCACCGCAGACATCACAGCACGGAAGTGTGGGGCAACCCGCGAGCGCCGCAAGTGATGGCGTCGTCCGCCATGACGGAGACGACGACCACGGCACGACACACCCCGACGCGACGAATGCGGACAGGACTCAACCTCGAGTCACGATTTCAGTGCCGGCCGGCGAATCAACTCTTCCGTCGCCGATGCCGCTAAAGCCGCAGCGTCCGCCATGCTTTGACCCAAGTCAGCGGGGTGGTCCTACCGTTCAGGCGTGGCTCTTCACGTTGAACGTCTTCTTCGACGCGAACTACGTCTCGGAGGATACGGCGAAGATTCGCTACGCCCTGTCGTTGCTGCGAGGACCCGCCATGGACTGGTGGCGCGTCATCGTCACGAAGCCGGTGGACTACGCGACTCTACCGACACGGGAAGGACAAACCGGACCCTGGGCGCTGTCGTATTTCGTGGAGGTGCCCCAGTATCGCACGTGGGACGCGTGGTGCGCAGGTCTGCGCGCTCGTTTCGAGCCAATCGCGGCTTCGATCGCGGCGCGACAGAAGCTGCGCACTTGGCGCCAACTCGGTTCCGTCCAAGATTACACGAGCGGATTTCTGGCGCTATGCGAGCAGGTGGGATATATGCACGAGAGCAAGCGCATCGACCGCTACATCGGCGGCCTGAAGCAGGACATCGCTCAGGAAATCCAGCTTCGCGGCGTCACCGACTTTCAAGAAATTCTCGCTATGGCGGAGAAACTTGATTTCTTCCGCCGACCGAGACCGGGGTCCTACGGAAGCAGCCATTGGGGACATCGGCCTCGTGGGACGAACGAGGGCGCCACGATACGTGCCGTCGCCGCAAATGCCGCTGCCGCACCGTTCAAAGGGCGCTGCTTTGAGTGCAATCGGCCGGGACATCGCAAGAGCGAATGCCCGGAAAACGCTAAGGGAAAGGGGGAAGCTGAGCAGCAGAAACAGACCAAGCAGCAGGGAAACGCTGGGAGTCAGTAGCAGACGGGCCCTCTACTGACAGGTCACGCCGCTCGCCCGACCCAACCGACCCTCACCGAGTGATTGTGCCGGTTCACGCAATCGACCACACCCGGCCGAATAAAGAGGGTGCTACGGTAGACAGCCCCATACTGCTTAGTGGGAAAATCGGGACGGACTTCGAAAAAATCTTCGTAGACGGGGGAGCCAGCCACAGCCTCATCAATACTGCCACAGCACGAAAACCGCGACTGCCACTGGACAGATGTTTACCTGAGATCGACGCACGACTGGTAGACGGCACGCGGCTGGCGATACGGGAACGCGTAGACCGGGTTCGGATTCGATGTGGGGGTAACTTCACGTTTAGCCAGGAAATGCTCGCAACGACCCTCGACGGAACCGATATTTTACTCGGGCGTGATTGGTTGCGACGACACAATCCGTGAATCGACTGGACGACGGGTGACTGCACCGTGCAAGTGAACGGTAACAACATCGCCTTACCTCGCTGGGGCTCACCTGAGTCTTCGTCGGTGCGTGTCAACGCGATCACGATGAAACGCGCCGTAGCGGCAGGAGCTGACGTGTACGCGGTCGACATTCGGGATGCCGAGGCAGCAGACAAAGGAGGGGATTTACAGAAACTGCTGGCCGAGGTACCGAGTGACCTGACAGCACTGTTGAAGCAGTACAGCGACATTTTCCCGGACGATTTACCGACGGGACTGCCACCTCAGCGACCGCACGACCACAGGATAGAGTTAGAACCGGGGGCTGAGCCAATAGTACAGCGACAGTTCCGACTGACCCAACCCGAACTGGACGAACTGAGGAAGCAGCTCGATTACCTGCTCGAAAAGGAATTCATTCGCCCTAGTTCGTCGCCCTTCGCAGCACCGATACTGTTCACACCGAAAAAAGACGGGGGATTTCGCATGTGCATAGATTACAGAGCACTGAACAGGGTTACCATCAAATCCCGTTACCCCATCCCGCGAGCCGATGAACTGATCGACCAACTGCGCACAGCCCGGGTTTTCTCGAAAATCGACCTCCGAGGGGGTTACCACCAGATTCGCGTCAATCCGCCCGACTGCCCTAAGACCGCATTTCGAACACGCTACGGATCCTTCGAATACACCGTCATGCCCTTCGGACTGACCAACGCCCCCGCCACTTTTCAAATGACCATGAACGAAGCTTTCCGCCCGCTCTTAGATAAGTGCGTCATAGTATACCTAGACGACACACTGATTTACAGCCCTGACAGAGCACAGCACTTACAGGACATCGAAGCAGTTTTTAAAATACTGAGTGAAAACCGCCTACTGACAAAAGCATCCAAGTGTGAGTTTTTACAGGACCGCCTGGAATTTTTGGGACACGTTATTTCAGCTGCAGGAGTGGGAATACACCCGAAGAAAATTGCGACGATTCAAGCATGGCACGCGCCGACCAACTTGACCGAGTTGCAGAGTTTTTTGGGGTTCGTCAACTACGTGCGCCGGTTCGTCCCCGACATGGCGAAGCTGACTGCCCCGTTGACCGACCTACTGAGTGCGGAGAGTCAATCTACAATGGTAGTGAGCTAGACTACGGGGTTGGCACAAACTACTAGAGGTGATCGTAGCTTTGCTTAGTTCCTTAGTGCTTGCGCATTCACGGGAGTAATCGGCAAGAGTTTCCACTAGCAAAGTTGGAATTACAGAATGATTGAACAAGCAATGACAGAATGACTATTTCAGGCACCTAGCAACCCTGCAGCTAGCCTGGTCGACCGCCAGCACAGCTTGGTCGACCGCCTGCCAGCGTTGCGTAGTGGAGCCGCGCCAGCACTGCGGAAAGGCGACGTGCCAACAGAGCAGGTCGACGGCGTGCCAACGCTGCAGCGGAGCGGCTGTCCAGCATTGCCCCGTAGAACACAGCAGTGCGCACGCTCGCAGGTGCGCGCAGACGATTGGCCCGACCTGCCTCGTTGGGCATCCGTTGGCTGTTGTCTGCGCCTGACGAGCCACATCGACTCCGGGATACCAGCTCGCAGTCGCCTGCGCCATCGCAACCTCGACGACGTTCGCGTGCCTCCGCAGAACTCGTCGAGCAGGTTACCCGATCGACCCGGTCGACCACTAGGTGCTTCCGGTCGACCACCACTGCTTCAGGTCGACCCCCAGGTCCCTCTGGTCGACTACCAGGTGCCCCTGGTCGACCACAGCTCCCGTCGAGCTACCCTCTGGTCGACGGACCCCTTCCGTCGACCGGAACAGTCAGCGGTTGTCGCCGAGCCCCCCTCGTCGACCGCTGCTCACTTGCCAGGTCGACAGACTGCTCCGTCGACCTCCCGGTCGAGCTGTAGGTCCTGGTCGACGTCCCACCCGTCGCCCAGACCAGTCAGTTGCAGCTGTCGAGCTCCCTGGTCGACAGCAACACCACAGCGGTCCCCTGCAGCTCGACGAAGCCTGTCGAGCAGCTCTCCCACTGTGAACGGTCGGCTGCTACTCCCGTACATCCGACCAAGTCGTCGGCGTTGCCCAAGCGAGGGCGGGGCCAACACTCCATTTCCGTTAACACTGAGGAAGGGGGTTGAGTACACGTGGGGGGAGAAAGAGCAAGCTGCCTTCTCGGCCCTCAAAACCATTTTGTGCTCACCGCCCGTGCTTTACATCGCAGATCCACACCGTCCGTTCGAGCTCGTCACTGACGCAAGTGACATCGCTGTGGGAGCAGTACTGTTGCAGGATTTCGGGAACGGCCTCCAGCCAATCGCGTACGAGTCCCGCAAGCTGCACCCGCCCGAACGCAATTACCCGATACACGACCGCGAAATGTTGGCAATCGTGCACGCGTTCAAGGTTTGGCGGTGTTACCTGACTGGCGCCGACGTGACAGTACGGACAGACCACCGATCACTACAATAATTACGCGCCCAACCGAATCTCAATCCACGACATATTCGCTGGTTGGACTACCTCGAGTCCAGCTTCCACTACACGGTTACGTACAAGAAAGGCGCATCCAACATCGCCGACGCACTCACCCGCCCTACCGCCCAACTCCACGCCATCCTACTCGCCCAGACCAACTCGCTTTTAACAGGCCTATTTACCCACGGATACCGCAGTGACCCATTTTTCACGACTGGGAATTCACAGCAACTGGCAGAAGCTAAAGGAGTTTATTACGTAAAAACAGGCACCAACCGCATCTGGTTACCCGCGTACTCACTACTGAGGGAGCTGCTACTGCAGGAGGCACACGACGGAATTACCTCGGGACATTTTGGGGTAGAGAAAACGCGACAGCAACTGCAGCGGTATTACTACTGGCCGGAGCTGTTGACCGACGTGCAGCAGCACGTGGGCTCGTGCCCCACGTGTCAAGTGATGAAAAGCTCGAGGAAGCGGAAGGCGGGTCAATTGCAGCCGATACCACCGCCCGAGCGCGCCTGGCAGCAGGTTACCATGGACTTCGTCACAGGGTTACCTTCGAACCCTGGGGGTAACGACGCGGTGATGGTCGTCGTTGACAGGTTGACGAAGATGGCACACTTCGCTGCGTGCAAAAAGTCGATCTCAGCCGAGGAGACCGCTCGTCTGTTCATCGCAGCCGTTGTTCGCCTGCACGGGATACCAGCAGCGATTATGAGCGACAGGGACACGAAGTTCACCAGCAACTTCTGGAAAAATCTCTGAGAGCAGTTCGGGACCAGGCTACAGTTCAGTTCGTCGTACCACCCCGAGACCGACGATCAAACGGAGCGGACGAATCAGACGATGGAGCAGTTGATTCGTGCCACGTGCGACGACCCCACGACTTGGGAGCAGCAGCTGCCGCTGATCGAGTTCGCGTACAACAACGCCACGTCAGCGACGACGCAGCAGTCCCCCTTCTACCTGAACTACGGGCAAAATCCTACAGTGCCCATGACGCCGAGTCCGGACAACCCAACACCACGAGCACAGCAATTCGCCGAAATTCTGCAAGCTGCCCGCACCAGAGCCGCAGAAGCAATTAAAAAAGCGAACGTCATCGCTAAGCGCAACGCTGACCGCCACCGCCGCCCAGTCACATACCAGTCAGGGGATTACGTACTGCTCGACACGCAAAATCTGCGACTACCCGACGTACCAAAACTTCGACCGCGTTACTGTGGCCCATTCCAAATCAGCCACATGATCACGCCAGTAACTGCGCACCTACTATTACCGACCGACTGGTACATCAGCCCTTCGTTCCACGTCAGCTTGCTTCGCCCATACATCCCAACCACAAGCCAACTGCCTCACCACCGCCCGCCATCCATGACTCGCCCTGCATCGGAGCCGATCATCGAGCCCGAAAAAATCCTGAGCCATCGGATTCGACACCCCACGGGAATCAAGAGGATTGAATTCCTCGTTCGCTGGAAGGATCGCACACCAACTGAGGACAACTGGGTGCCCCTGGCCAACATCGAAAACCACCCTGCCCTGCAAGTGTACCTGAGGAGCCGGGGATTCCGCGATATACACGCACTCGCGTAGCGGAAGGGGGCTTCTTGAGGGGGGGGGGTAGTGTAAGGAATTTTCTCGGCATTCCTTACGGAGCCCGACTACATCGCGTACAGCAACAGCCGTTCTTCGCCCGTTACTGCTAACGGGGCTTCGCCGACTTCGCGCGCACTGTTTCACCAAACCTCGCACTGCTGGCCTGGCCGTGTCGGCCTACGCTTCGGGACTAGCCCGAGCCTCGCTCCAGCGTAGCACTAGCTAGCTCGCACGCACCGCGTTACCGTTTGCATGTTTCGCATATAAATGTTCGCTCATGCCTTCGCTCACATTTTGTACTCGTTTGACACCTTAGTGCAATTCTCGCTACTTCGATTCATTGCACCCGTAACAGGGTGATAACTATGGAAGCCCTTCATCAGTGGCCCAAGGGGACAACACAATAATCTCGGAAGCCTTGCAGAGATACAACCCAGTGCTCGTGGAGAACTACCTCTGAAATGTGTATCAAGCTACATAAAACAAGATATCAGGCAACGATCTAGAAAATAGATAGTATAATCTTCAAGGCTGCCACATGTGTGCCAGCTTTCGGCATGCCACCACGGATCACAACAAGCATCTAGTCAAAAACTCGTAAATCCTCTCCTCCATATACGTCCGGTCACGGAGACCCCTCGGCATGTGCCGTTCTTCGGGAAAAAGCAGCAGCTCATACTGCTTAGCAGCAGTAGTAAGTGCCTGCACCAGCCGCACCGAGTGCCTGAAATGCACATTTTCGTCTATCATCCCATGCACCAGCAGCAGCTTCCCTCGAATCCCACCCACATGCCGCATTACAGAGCTCCGGTCATATGCTGTGGGCTGCTCTGCAGGCAGACCCATGTAACGCTCTGTGTAATGTGTGTCGTAACCGTCCCACGCGGTTACCGGAGCTCCAGAAATGGCACAGCGAAATAGGCTTGGGTACCGAGCCAAGCACATGGCTGAGAGGTACCCCCCGTAGCTCCACCCGTAAATCCCGATCCGGTTTGGGTCGGCGAGGCCCTGCTGGATAAGCCAACGGACGCCGGCCGCTTGGTCGTCAGCATCAATGCCGCCCATGTTGCACTTGATGGCTCCTTCAAAGGCCAGCCCACGGCGACTGCTGCCCCGGTTGTCAAGCTGGGGAGAAGTTGAAGGTGAGATGCAAGGGGAAGAGGGATGCATGCAGATATGGGACGTTGGACAAGGACGTTGTTGGACCCATAAACGCTTGGGAGGTTGAATGCAAGGACTCATCATGAGACGACCCTGGCTATGTTAGTCTCTGTTAATGTGCGTGTGTGAGTGCTTCTCTGTCCCGTACGAACTCTGTGCTTTGTGCTCACCTTCCACACCAGCATGCCTCAAGCACGCAGGAACTGAGCGCGCATGTCCACCGTCGACAGCCACGACTCGCACACCGCCTGCATGCGTGCTGGTCTGTCCGTGTCTCTGTCTCGATGTGCATGTGTCTGCCTGTGGGTCTGACAGTCGGCCTGTTTGAGTGTGTCTGTGTGTCTCTCAGTGTACGAGTGTGTGTGAGCATGTGTCTCTGGTGCGCACCTTCCACACCAGCATGCCTCGAGCACGCAGGAACTGGGCGCGCATGTCCACTGTGGATAGCCACGACTCGCACACTGTCTGCACGTGCGGGCCCCCGTAGACGCTCACCACCGTGCGGTAGGGAGGCGGGCCAAAGATGGCCGGGTCAGGGCTGCACGGGAGAGAGAGAGGTGAAGAGAGGATGGGAGAGAGGAGATGAGGTGTCATGCACACCGTCCGCACATGCGGCCCCCCGTACACACTCACCACTGTGCGATAGGGAGGCGGACCAAATATGGCCAGGTCAGGGCTGCACGGGGAGAGAGAGAGAGAGAGAGAGAGAGAGAGAGAGAGAGAGAGAGAGAGAGAGAGAGAGAGAGAGAGAGAGAGAGGGTGGGAGAGAGAAAGGGTGGGAGGGAAGAGATAAGGTGCCATACACGCCACCTGCACATGTGGTCTCCTGTATACACTCACCACCAAGCGGTGGGGTGGTGGACCAAAGATGGCCGGATCAGGCTGGAAAGTGGGTGAGAGGGGAGGGTGGTGGAAGAGAGGGTGGGGAGAGAGGGTGGGTGTGGAAGAGAGGGTGGGGAGAGCGGGGATAAGGTGACATACTCACCACAGCACGCAAGGGGGGAGGGGAGAACTGGGGGCCAGGGGGGATAAAGTGTTGCACACAGGCAAGGTATGCTCCTGCAACCCCCCCATACAGACTCACCAGTGGATTCTGCTGCTGCTGATGGCCCCGAGCAGTGCGGTGCCATCTGCAGCAGTGAGCTGCATGAGCTCAGGCGGGATGAGACTCCTGCACATGCCACCCCCACATACCAGCACCCAGAGGATGATCCTGTAATCCCGTGATACTTTTGAGGCGCCTCAAAAGTCAACACCCAGAGAATGATCCTGCAATCCCCCCATACACACTCACCGGTAAATGGCCCCGTGCAGGGTGGTGCCGTCAGCAGCAGTCACCTGTACCAACTCTGGCAGCCGGGGCTGCAGGCACTGCATTCTGGGGTTGGGCGAGTGCTGCTGGAAGATCACCGCCAGCATTCGCCCTGAGGGAGGGTTCCCCGGTGGCTGTACTCGCCCCAAAGAGTGTCCGAAGACGGTACTCACCGGTAGATGGCCCCGTGCAGGGTGGTGCCATCAGCAGCAGTCACTTCCACGAGTTCGGGAGGCCGGAGCTGCAGGCGCTGCACGCGGGGGTTGGGCGAGTGCTGCTGGAAGATCACCGCCAGCACTCGCCCCGACGCCAGGCAGCAGAGGCGCACGGCGGGCGGCGAGTCTAGCGAGTCAACGAGGTCAACGAAGCGCTGCAGGCTGTGGTCCAGCACCACCAGGTGCCGCCCGGGGCCCTGGGTGAGGCGGATGGGGCGGGCGGGCGGCAGAGAGGACGAGAGGGCGGCGAGGGAGGAGGGAGGTGGGTGGAGTGATGCTGCTGCTGCGGGTGCTGCTGCTGTTGCTAGTGGTGGTGGTGATGGGTTTGAACCAGGTCGACCTGGTGGAGCTACTCCTGCTGCAGTTCCTATTGCTGCTGCTGCTGCTGCTGCTGCTGCTGCTGCTGGGGATGATGATGCGGTGGGCTGCACCGAATCTAACACCATCGGCACCACGTGTTGCTGCTGCTGCTGCTGCTCATAACGAGAAAACGCGTCACGCTTCTCCGCACCCAACAAAGGCCCCAACCCAGCACCCCCTCCTCCCCCCTCCACGCCCCCAAACAACTTAGTCACATACAAATGACTCTCCAACGCGCTATCCATGGTCCCAGTGAAATACACCAGCCCAGCGCCCTCATCCAACCCCGCGACCTGCTCCACCATCCACTCCCCCGCCGTCACCGCCCCCACACACCGCCCCGACCCCGCATACAAGTACAAGTGCCGGAACCCCGTGCGCTCACTCGCCCACAGGAAACCCCCGCGCAGCTCCCCTCCGGATTTCACCAGGGGGGTGAAGCAGTCATGCAGGTTCACCCAGAGGGGGTTGGACTCAGTAAGAACGAGGTCCCTGCTGCCTGTGTTGGGGTCGAAGCGGAGGAGTTTGAGGCGAGTCTGCCTGCGGTTCTGTACCTGCGCGGACAGACGCCCGTCTGGGAGCCATGACACGCGCGCTAGGTATTCCTCATCATCGTCATCATCGTCTACAGCAGCTGTAGCGGCTGTAGCAGCTGTAGCGGCTGTAGCAGCTGTGGCAGTGCCATTGCCACTGCCACTACTGCCAGCAGTCGCAATCCCACTCGCTTCCTTCTCAGGCAGTGCTGGTTCCCCAGCGTCCCTTCCAGGTAGGGTCCCTGCATCACCCTCGTGTGTGCTATCCACTGTCCTTGCTGCTTCTCCCTGCTGAAACACCCCACTGTCTTGTGCCACCACCTGCCCTGTGCCTCCTCCTATCCGTACACCATCACCATCACCAACGCCATTACCACCATCATTGCCGCCGTTGCCATCATTACCCGCACCAGCGTTTCTAACCCCACTGCTGCTGTTGATTCCGCCACTTCTGCTGCTGCTTTTTGTTTTACCAAAGCTGCTGCCTGCCAAGCCGCAATGCAGATCCATCCACCGAACCTCGCCGCCAGCCACGGGCACGACCCCGAGCCTCACGCTCACGTTTGCCTGGCCTGGAAAAGGGAGGAAGACAGGACAAGGACGTTTGGAATGGCAAACACAACAAAAAGGAGAGAAGGCGGAAAAAAAGAGGCTGAAAGGGCTGAAACAGGGGGGGCTGAAGAAAAGGGGAGGAGGAGAGGCTCTAGAGAACGGGGTTCCAGAAAAAGCTAACTGTTCTTGTTACTTGGCCTGATTTGTTTTGAGACGTCTCAAAACAAATCTTCAAACACGTGGCTCTAGAAAACGGGGTTCCAGCAAAAGCTGACTGTTCTTGTTACTTGGCCTGATTTTCCATGCTACTCCCAAGTCTGGCAAAGGCAACCTAAACCTGAAACCCAGACCCGACACCATACCAGTGCCTGCAAAAGGGTGTGCATGCTTCTCCTCTGAGTCCGCCTCCACAGGCGGGCGAGTGCATTGGGGGATGCGGAGAAGCCTGTCTCTAAATTGGGGGAGCTAAAACAAGAGGCGCCAAGCTAGTCAGTGTTAACTACCTGCCAAGAGGCGCCTCAAGAGCAGTACCTGCAAAGGGGTATGCATGTTCCTCCTCGGAGTCCGCCCCCACAGGCGGGCGGGTGCAGTGGGGGATGCGGAAGAGCCTAGCCTGTCTCTGAAGCGCCCTAAACGAGCTACTCGGTATTAATTACCTACACATGTGGGGGATGCGGAAGAGCCGATGTTTAAGGCACCTACACAATCGGGCACATAACAAGTAAACTACCTGCGAAGGGGTATGCATGTTCTTCCTCGGAGTCCACCCCCACAGGCGGGCGGGTGCAGTGGGGGATGCGGAAGAGCGGCACAGCAGAGGCGTCTGTCTGCGTGAAGGCGATGCGCGTGCTGTCATGCGCCCACCAGAAGCCACTTCGCCGCTCCATCTCCTCCTGCCCTTGCAAGGAGGGCCGAGAGAAGGAGAGAAGAGGGGAGGGGGGAGCGCAGGAGAGAGAGGGGGAGAGAGGGGGATGGGGGGAAGAGTGCAGGAGAGAGAGGGGAGACAGGGAAACGGGAAGGTGGGAAATTGTTCGCCAATTGAGCAGACGGGATGAGACAGCATTACGTTAAAAGAAGCATGGCTATGATACGAGTGAACTAACAAACAACGAATCCAGAGTCGGACATGTAGTGCATGAATGAATAAGCATAACGAGGGTGCTTTTAAGACGGATATAGTGGTGGTGAGGGCGCGTTTGTTGGGCCAGGGTTGAAGGGGCCGGTGAGTAAAGGTGATGGTGAAGCGGCCGCTTACCTGTGCAATGTATTCTGCCAAGCCATGGACCTGCCATCGCCACAGCACAGCACCAAGCACGCACACATACATAGGGACGCACATGCACATGCATGGGGTTGCACACAGACGCGCACATACGCACGCACAAGTTAAAGCACAAGCATGCAAACCAAGAGCGAGATACACAGGATTTGGAAGACAAGGAGGGATAAAGCGCGTGATGGCATGTCATGCTTTCACATTGGAAGCTAACAACTGTGCACATGGGAGTGAGGCAGTGAGAAGGAAACGCATTTGTCTTCTCCATCGAAAATGCTTCCTTCCATGTGTCCAGTCCAGTCGTCTACTCTACCACCCCAAAACCCATTTTTACTACACCCCAAGACTAAGCCTTTGCACTGACTGAACCGCACCTTGTTACCTTCCTTTGCGCCGAGCACTCTACCCCCGGAACTCAGCCGCACCTTGTTGGCCTCCTTTGCGCCGAAGGTGAGCTGGCAGGGCGCGCCCGCGGTGGTGGAGACGACGAATAGCTCGTCTCTGCTCCCGCGCATCGAATTCCTCACTCTACTCAAACACCCTCCCAACCACTCTACACTAGCCCTCAACCCCCAGTACCCAGCCGCACCTTGTTGGCTTCCTTTGCGCCGAAGGTGAGCTGGCGGGGCGCGCCGGCGGTGGTGGAGACGACGAAGAGCTCGTCGTCGCGCACGAACGCGATGGCGGAGCCGTCGGGGGAGATCTGCGGGTCCAGGATGGGGGACGCGCCCCCCGGGATGCGCAGGCGCAGATCCGCGCCCATGCCGTCCTGCACGTACACCTGCGGGGGCCGCGGGGGAGGGGGGACGGGGGGATGGGAAAGGTTGGTCGGGAATGGGGGGGCGCAGTATGCGCGGAATGGGCATGCGCAGATTCTCGCCCGTACACCTTCGGAGGCAACGCGAGGGGGGAAAGGTGAGCGGAGAAAAGCAACGGGGAGATAAGAGCATGGGGAAGAGGGCGGGAGGCTGGTGGGGGGAGGAATGGGGGATGCAGAGTGAGGAAGAAAGCACTCAGTTTTTCCTTAACCACAGTGGAGGGGAGAGGAGGAGGAAGTGGGGGAACATCAGAAACCGGCTTGTAAGGAAACAACGGGACAAATTGCACCGGTGGCATGGGTAGCAACGGGCCAATGAACTCACGCCATCTGGCAGCGGTATCATGATGCGCGGAACCGCCACGTTCTTGGACCAGTCGTAGCGCGTGATTCCCAAGCCGCGCTCCCGCTGCCTCTCGCGCCTTAATTTTTCCTCCATGGAGAGATTATCCTCGTCGACTCCGCCGCCCGGAGGAGCCACTAATAGCTTCTGCTGACCCGTCTTTAACTCGTACGCGAATAGCTTCCTCGTGAGGGTACCCTCTTCGCTAAAGAGGTAAGAGATCATCTGATCGTCGGGACTGAACGCGATCGCGGACGGGGACACGTAACCGGGTAACGGATGCTGCACGATGTCGTCGACGGGGAAGTTTCGCGAGAGTTCGTCTTTGTCGCCCGGCAATCCGCTGCCTCGGTGCTGCTGGTGCGGTGAAGCATGCTGAGCGTGAGCATGGGGATTTTGGTGGTTTGTAGCGGGGTGAGGTTCGGTTCCAGGGGCGGGGGGACCGCCCCTGGTTGGGGTTGACATTCCCGAACCCAGATGTTTCGCTGTATCGGGAATGTTTATACCGGACACCTCGTTAGCGAAGATAGAATGCGCAGGCGGGTGGGAAACAGGAATGCCGACGATTAGGGTTTCTGATGTCGCTGCTGCAGCTGCAGATGCTGCTGATGGTGCTTCTGCCCGTTCGGTGCGCAGTCGCTTCGGGCTCTCCTCCCTCAAGTCGCTAGGGTTTCGATGAAAGGAGCTTTGCATTACCTAGTATCAGCAGCGAGTGCGGTACAGGCATAAGGCTGCGGAGCGAGAATCGCAAGGCACCAGTTATCGCTTAAGGTGTCCGAGGAGAATAAGGTGCTAAATGGAGGTTGTTGGGAAATCTTAAGATTCTCTCGGCGATTGCGAAGAGAAAGCAGAATAAGTGAGATACGTTCGATTTGACATGCGTCAATTGCTTAAAATATTATTGTCAATGAAGCAACTGCACTGACTAATGCAAGCCACATAGGATTCAACCTAGGACGTCGGCGGGATGTAAGCACCTAACCCAAAAAGAAAAACTCTTACGAGTCGCGTAAGAGAGAGAACAAAGCCAATGCGAGGCCAATGTTGATTTGAAAGACAGGTCAACTAGACTTAGCCATCTGACCACGAAAAGTCATGGTCATGGCGGGAATGGTCATTGGTCACTAGAAGATAGAAACGACCGAGCAGAGATGAGAAGGTGGAGGAAGAAATGGAGATTATTAGCCGACGGCGGGTGGTTGGCCTTGGGATTGCCGAAAGACCGTGTCTTGTATCGAGTAGTCGTCACAGCTTTATACAACTCTTACATGGAATACTGAAATTGTCCTACTCAATTACGGAAATCCATTACCTTCATTCTCCCAGAAAGCATTGACCTACTCTGATTTAGGTGGTAGGAATTTGATCACTAAATTGCATTGAAAATGAAGACGTCTTATTATAATCTGGACAACTCGTTTCCCTTGCTGGACTCCTGAGAAATAGGACCTTTTTAGAACACCCATGGGCTAAACCAACAAGGCTTGCACAACCCTACAGTACATACAGAACTACTACCCAACATTTTGAGTAGTAATTTATATCTCGGAACTACCATACATGTCTTCTTTTCCATTAGAATTTAATATGAAATGAACCTCTTATTTTGGAGATGAATCAGATGCGGAGGATGTTTCAGCAGGGAACGTGGACAGGAATCCCGTTTGCAGGCAGTATTCAAGCGCAGTGGCAGTGAGGGCCAGCACCAGCACCCCCTCCCCTGCCTCCAGCAACGATAGTGCCACCGGCACCAAGGCACCATCCGTCATACTACCCATGACGTCATCCGAGAGACCATTATTTGCAGACCCCGCGCTCACAAGAGAGAATGTGGAGTCCACTTGAGCCAGCCCTCTCGCTAGCCCGAAAGCACCCACCGCCCCGGCTTTAAGATGAATGTTTCCCATGTCTTTCCGGACTATGTACCGGTAGGTTACACCGAACAGAGCACATGTTGCTGCTAGCGCCGCCGCTGCCACCAGGAAACTCAATCCCGTCCCTCCTTCCTGTGCTCGCTGACTCAGCAGGAATGGCAGGCCTGCTACAGTGCCAGCTACAGCTGCTACAGTGGCCGCCTTGGCTGATTCCACTCGTTCTTTGTCGTCATCGATCGTGCCGGTGCTCACCGCCCATTTTCCGGCTGTTTGTTCCCCCGAGCCTGCGCTGCTGGTTCGGAAGCCGCCGCCTGCCCGAGCCTCGATGAGGGCTGCTCCAGCAGCCCTGGCTGCCTGCTCTGCTGCGGCCACCTCAGCTTCGAGCTTCTCCACCTAAAGGGTACAAAGCGACAGGGAGGGAGGTGTCCAGATGGCGATTTAGCCTCCACAAACTAGTCTTAAGATGTCATGTTTAATCTTCGCTCAAAGCTCCCTTCCTAAAGTTCTTGAAGGTAGGAGGGGAGAAAGGGAAGGCTGTCATAGCTGCTGCCATTGCAGAGTTTAGCGGCGGAGGGGAAGGGAGGGGGGGGAGGAGGGGGGGTGACAGAGGGGCATAACATGGGGAGAAGTGCGGATGGCGGAAGGATTGGGGAGCGATGAGGATGGCAGCAGGATGGGGGGAATGAGGATGGCAGCAGGATGGGGGGAATGAGGATGGCAGCAGGATGGGGAGAATGAGGATGGCAGCAGGATGGGGGGAATGAGGATGGCAGCAGGATGGGGGGAATGAGGATGGCAGCAGGATGGGGGGAATGAGGATGGCAGCAGGATGGGGGGAATGAGGATGGCAGCAGGATGGGGGGAATGAGGATGGCAGCAGGATGGGGGGAATGAGGATGGCAGAGGGAGGGGGTGAATGGGAGGGGAAGAGTGACAATTAAGCGGACATGGAGAAAGACGGAGAGCAAGTATTGGAAGCGGAGGAGAGCAAGACAATGGGGTTGAGGGGATGGTTTCGCGGGTAGTGTGGGGGATAGTGTGGAGGGATGTAGGGGGGCCATGCGGGACCATGCAGGACCTGCAGGGGGAGACCCTGGATCAGGATTTAGAGTTGTGTGATCGCCTGCAAGGGGCGATCAGACTTCGGTTCCGGAGTTGCCTCATCGCCTTTCCAGTGTGATATCTATGCGCAGGTGGTCGACTCAAGGGCGGGTTTTAGCCCTCTAGAGAGTTGTTTTTAGGGCGCTTGTTTATTCTCCCTCCTCTTCCCCCCCCCCAACCCCCCCCAAATCTTCCCTCATGCCCCCTGGTTCCCGCTTGCGCCGGCTCTGATATCTTCCGCTCACCTGCGCGTCCGCCTGCGCGAGTTCCGCCTCCATCAGCGCGGCGGCTTCCAGTTCCGCCTTGAGCGCGAGCAGCTCCTTCTCCTTCTTCTCCATCTCCTCGTACGACGCGCGCGCGCGGGAAACGCGCAGCGCGGCTGACTCGAGGTCCGCCCAGAGTGCCTTCGACTCCTCGCCGCTCAACGCGCGATCCAGCTCCGCCATTATCGCATCGCGCCCCTCAGGAGACGCCGCGAATGACGCTGCGGGAGGCGGGGCGATGGGTTCTGGGTAGGGCTGTTGTTCTTGGCTTTTGTCGTTTTTATCCTTGTCGTTCTCTGCGTTGCTTGCGGGCGGTTGAGCTGAGCAGAAAACGAGGCGACGTCGCGTGTTCAACTCTCGTCGTCCCCATTCAGCCGCATTAGCGACAGATGCGCGACAGGGCGTGCGACAGGATACGACGAGGCGAGAGCTGACGGGAGCAAGAAGCGACGCCGCCATAAGCCGAATCGGCATGCGACAGGATACGACGAGGTGAGAGCTTGAGGGAAAGCAAGAAGCGGGAAATGACAAGACAATGAATAGAGGTCAAGTATGAATTCGCCTTGTGAAGTGATCGAAATGGGAAACCAGGAATTGGATTGGGTTTGGTTTGCCGGAAATGTCGAGGCTGACCTGGCTAACCACGGGTCATCTCGCTGTCTGAAATGGCACGTCGAGGTTGGTTCCGGTAGGGCTAGAAGGGACAACTTCATCTGCAATCTAATTAAGCCAGCGCGGTTCGCAAATGCGATCCCTAACAGTCCGCCTGGAAGAAGCTGATGAGTCGTAATCTGCCCGCGGTCAGAAAAAAAAGCCCCTAATGGGTGGCATGCGATTAGGGGAGCCCCAACCCTAAACACGGGCAGCCGCGTCGTTCTGCCCGAAAAGATTGCATTTGCAAACCCGCACTGGGAAAATGAGATCGCAGTTCGAATTGTCCGGGGCTAGAAACACACGCGTTGTGTGTATGTGGCACCCTGTGGATGCCGCAAATATTCAGCTTTTAAAGGACCGCGTTTGTATGAAACCGCCGAAATGTAAGAATCGATGAAACTAATGCACAAGCCAAACCTTGAAACTTTCAAATGCAGAGATGGGGGAGATATCCAAATTCCAGAACCAACCTGAACCCGCCCAGACCAGATCTTGGATGCTCGGAAGGAAACTCAGGTAGCCAAATCTCCCGCCTTTCGCGGGTGCATATGCTCCTATGTAGTTGCCACGGATTGCTGATCCCTCACACTGCAACTCTTCGCTTTCTGTCAGTCCAGGTGTCAATGCTTAATTAATCACTTTCCCTCCGCAGTCGACGGCTAGCCTCCACGAGCATACCGTCTGCACTCGCGACATCTGCCGGCCGTTTCGGCTTTCAATATCAGAGCTCTTCTCTCTAGCACTCTTCGACATTACCGTCCTGTCAAGTCGTTTATGACATTACCGACATCCTCGGGTAACAACTTAAGGGTTACATCTTTCGCAGCAGACTAGGCATCCCCGCGCGTCGGTCTGATCCGCTATCCGCCGTTCCCTCGCGGTGACTTTTGAGTCGACTTAAAAAAGTCACTTGTCGAACCTGCGCGCCGGACTCCACCAATCCGCCTTCCCTCATTCGCCGTCGCGCCATGGTGATGGGAGGAACGTCTATCTTCAACGTCATCTGCGCGTCCTTCTTCCTCCTCTCCACCGCCGTCTCCTGCGCCGGCACTCTCGCCGGGAGCGGCGCGTGCGACGAGTTGTTCGCGTTGCCGCCCGTGAAGCGAGTTAAAGCCATGCTGTGCCCGCCGCGGACTGACACTATGGTCAGGAAATAACTCGTTACGAGTTCATAAAAACAGCCATGGTTGCAAGCGCATGAGTATGGAAGGGGCATGTACAGGATATACTAGGTAATAGAAGGCAATCATCCTTGGCCGGCAAGATTGAGGCAGTGGTTCAAAAGAAAAACGTGTTTGTACACAGGTTTTTGGCAGCCAATTGATTTATTCGTGCGACCAAAGATGTGTTAGCAGTTACGGTAAGCTGAGAGTGATATACGGGTGTACGTATTTAGGGAAATAAATATGAAAGTAGTACCAAGCAATTTGTGCAAATGTATGCCAGCAATTTGTGCAAATGTATGCCTAGTCACATCTGATCTGAGTGTGCTGACTAATCTACACTGACCACATCGGTAAGTGTGCTGTGTCCCGTGAACTACCCTATGTCACATGAAGTGCACCTACTGGTATCATCCCTACTTCGGAGAACACTAAATACGGGACATACCCATCCTCCTAGCATCATCTCCCCCAAATTCGAGGCACTTTTGTAGTCATCACTTGACCCCTCAACGACTCGAATTCAAATCATCCGCAGCTATCTGAACGAGCCCTGCTGCCTGCCCTGCAACACTCCCCCTCCAGTTGCCGTCACTGTGTCAGAATTATGTTGTTATCACTGCATGTAGTTCTAACGTTAGTGTAGTTATCGTGATATCCTGTTTGGTGGTGTACCCCCTTTCCTACCCTATATGTTGTGACCCTCCTGTCCATAGTGAAACCCTTCTTCTCTCTCGTCATTCTCCTTCTACCCTAGGCTCCTAAGCCTAGTGATTCTAACATGGTACAGAGCAGGTTCTTCCTAAGGACCTAAGTTCATATTTTTTTTTTTTAAGACATGACTGCTGCAACATCTGTTAAAGCCCGCAGCTAAAATAGTGACCCCCCCCTTCTAGTTGGGTCCACTTTAAGACTCAAGTCTTTTTGTATCGTTTTGGGAAGTTGGAAGTGCCGTGATTTTGTTTTTTCGACCATCAGACTGGTTTCGTAGTGGAGCAGGAACGAAAGTTCTTTCTCAATTGTGATTGGCAGCCTGATTCTCCGACATGTACATGTGCGAATTTGGCGCAAAGATGTGCGACGTGCACTCCAGCATTCACTTGAGCCAATACTTCACCAAATTCGCATGTAGCAACATCTCACGCTAAATCCCAAGCAGACAAACATGTACGTGATGAGAGTGGATGGGAAGGGAGATTGCAAGGGCGACGGGATGGGAAGGGAGATTGCAAGGGCGACTGGATGGGAAGGGAGATTGCAAGGGCGACGAGATGGGAAGGGAGATTGCAAGGGCGACGGGATGGGAAGGGAGATTGCAAGGGCGACGGGATGGGAAGGGAGATTGCAAGGGCGACGGGATGGGAAGGGAGATTGCAAGGGCGACGGGATGGGAAGGGAGATTGCAAGGGCGACTGGATGGGAAGGGAGATTGCAAGGGCGACGGGATGGGAAGGGGGATCGCAAGGGCGACGGGATGGGAAGGGAGATTGCAAGGGCGACGGGATGGGAAGGGAGATTCCAAGGGCGACGGGATGGGAAGGGGGATCGCAAGGGCGACGGGATGGGAAGGGGGATCGCAAGGGCGACGGGATGGGAAGGGAGATTGCAAGGGCGACGGGACAGGAAGGGAGATTGCAAGGGCGACGGGATGGGAAGGGATATTGCAAGGGCGACCGGATGGGAAGGGAGATTGCAAGGGCGACGGGATGGGAAGGGAGATTGCAAGGGCCACGGGATGGGAAGGGAGATTGCAAGGGCGACGGGATGGGAAGGGAGATTGCAAGGGCGACGGGATGGGAAGGGAGATTGCAAGGGCGACGGGATGGGAAGGGAGATTGCAAGGGCGACGGGATGGGAAGGGAGATTGCAAGGGCGACTGGATGGGAAGGGAGATTGCAAGGGCGACGGGATGGGAAGGGGGATCGCAAGGGCGACGGGATGGGAAGGGAGATTGCAAGGGCGACGGGATGGGAAGGGAGATTCCAAGGGCGACGGGATGGGAAGGGGGATCGCAAGGGCGACGGGATGGGAAGGGGGATCGCAAGGGCGACGGGATGGGAAGGGAGATTGCAAGGGCGACGGGACAGGAAGGGAGATTGCAAGGGCGACGGGATGGGAAGGGATATTGCAAGGGCGACCGGATGGGAAGGGAGATTGCAAGGGCGACGGGATGGGAAGGGAGATTGCAAGGGCCACGGGATGGGAAGGGAGATTGCAAGGGCGACGGGATGGGAAGGGAGATTGCAAGGGCGACGGGATGGGAAGGGAGATTGCAAGGGCGACGGGAGGGAGAGCGCAGAGGCGAAGGGAAAGGGATCACGAACACTTGGACGACGGGCATGGAGGGGCGACGGGAAGGAAGGGGGGGCATCGAAGGCAAGGGGAGAGAGGGGAGATCGTGAGGCGATGGGAAGGAACGGGGACATCGAAGGCGAGGGGAGAGAGGGGAGATCGTGAGGCGACGGGAAGGAACGGGGACATCGAAGGCGAGGGGAGAGAGGGGAGATCGTGAGGCGACGGGAAGGAACGGGGACATCGAAGGCGAGGGGAGAGAGGGGAGATCGTGAGGCGACGGGAAGGAACGGGGACATCGAAGGCGAGGGAACGGCGCCACGATAAACGAGGCAGCGGGCAGCGAGAGGAGATAACCGAGGCGATGGGTAGCGAGGGGAGATAAACGGGAGGGCTACGGAATGGACGACATGATCGCGATGCGACGGGACGGACGGCGCGACTGATATCACAACGGGAGGATGAGCGAGATGGGATGGGAGGGGGGGGAGAGGACGATCGAAACGGCAGAAGTAGTACGCAACCATGCCCTCTAGTTACTACGCGTCTGAATTGCGGTAACAGCGACCTAATTGCAGAGTTATATGGCTACAGAAGCTACGCATAACTAAGGAGCAGGTGCAAATGAGCGGAAGAAGTAGTAGTTCACCCAATCCCAAGTTGAAAGGAAAGCTGGCCCCAGATCGCTTGGACGTGACAAAACGATCGCAGTGCTATGGTTGCGCGGCTTAAAAAAATGAGATGCGACACCTGACGTGCTGGGTTGGTTATTTTTTTGGTTGGCGGGAACCAATCAGATGTGCTCGATTTGTATAACCGCTCTCTTTGAAACAGTGCATACTTGTCAGTTTGCCCCCAAAATTTTAGCACTCTTTCAAGCTGGTCCTGGGGTCACTATTTTAGCTGCTGGCTTTAAGGCGCCCGAGGCGCCTGCCCGTGTCGAAACACTAGGCAGAATCGAGAAATAGGAAAGAGGGCTTTTCACTAGCATGCAGTTGAGTACATATAGCAAACCCTAGTTCGGGCTGTACTCGCTATAGAGTACCCCACTGCAGGCTACACAAACATCACATT